TTTAATGAATTTATTTGACATAGGTCCCGTGTCTCAGCTTTTCTTTGATAGAATTCCACTCATCTCTAGTTCCACAGAGAAACAAATTGGTCAGATTGAACGAGAATGAAAAACATCGTTTTTCTCTGAAATATGCAGAAGTCTTCGTAGCTTCATGCGTGGGTGAGCGTAGTCAGCTTTACTCTGTAACGTCATGCATGAGTGAGCATAATCAGTTTTACTTTGTAACATCATGCATGAGTGAGCGTATTCAGTTTTACTTTGTAACATCATGCATGGGTGAGCGTAGTCAGTTTTACTTTGTAACATCTTGCATGGGTGAGCGTAGTCAGTTTTACTTTGTAACGTCATGAATGGGTGACCGTAGTCAGTTTTACTTTGTAACGTCATGCATGAGTGAGCGGAATCAGTTTTACTTTGTAATGGTATGCATGAATGCACGTATTCAGTTGTACTTTGTAACTTAATGCATGGGTGAGCGTAGTCAGGTCTACTCTGTAACTTAATGCATGGGTGAGCGTAGTCAGGTCTACTTTGTAACGTCATGAATGGGTGACCGTAGTCAGTTTTACTTTGTAACTTAATGCATGGGTGAGCGTAGTCAGTTTTACTTTGTAACATCTTGCATGGGCGAGCGTAGTCAGTTTTACTTTGTAACGTCATGCATAGAGAATTTTCTTTCTAAGGTCACTTTGGCCAAGATCTTGCTATTTAAACCAAAAACGTGACAATTTATACCAGCCAATCCTTAGTTTCGTCACGCAGTTTTGTACAAGCTAATACAACAGAGTGTGTCAATATGTTATGTAGAATATAAGCGACTTAGTATTAATTATGAGGCTCTACAAGAAGCCTAAAACGTGTTGGGCGGTGACATTTCGGGCTATTAACTTCTTTTGATGTATCTCTGCCAGGTTTCACGATAATTAACAACTTCACCACTTTGAATATGTAAATGTGATGAATGACGGCAAACCCAACAGGCAGGTTATTAAGGGCATGACACGGCTTGTTAAAATTTAGAAAACTGTTATCCCCGATAAAAAACCATCAGTTGCCCAATTAGTAAATCATTTTTAAACTGCCAATTAAGGTTATTGTTTACTATTTGAGATTCCAGCCTACATATACGAATGCTGGTAATCATGTTTTGTCGACGCACGATTGAATCATCTCATTGGCATACACGACCAGTATAACCCATGGAAGTTGGTCGCAAGATAGTAAAGTTCAGTGTGGCGATCGGGTCGTGAATAAAGCGCCGTTAGGTCAGGTACCGAATAGATTAGCACCGTAGGTCAAAGATAGGTAAGTTGTGGCAGATAGGGCAGTGGGTCCGAGGATAGGAGGTTGAGAAGAGAGAGGTTGCGGGAGATAAAGCGGTGGTTCGAGAATGCGAAAGTTGGGGAGATAGAGCAGTGGGTCGAGGATAGGGAGATAGCGTAGTGGGAAGAGGATAGGAAGGTTGAGGGAGATAGGGCAGTGGGTCGAGGATAGGAAAGTTGAGGGAGGTCGGGCAGTGGGTCGAGGATAGGGAGATAGCGTAGTGGGTCGAGGATAGGAAGGTTGAGGGAGATAGGGCAGTGGGTCGAGGATAAGGAGATAGCGTAGTGGGTCGAGGATAGGAAGGTTGAGGGAGATAGGGCAGTGGGTCGAGAATAGGAAAGTTCAGGTAGGTCGAGCAGTGGGTCGCTCGAGTATAGGTAAGTAGATGGGGATAGGGCAGTGGGTCGAGGACAGTTTCAAGTGTCTTTAACGGAGTCCTGAGGCTCCGTACGGAGCACTTTGAGAACACAAAGTCTACGTAGTAGGATACAAATGGTTTTGCGAGTTTAGGACTTATATTTACCAAAACACAATTAAAATCTAACAAATAACACGCGAAAACTGACAAAACGAGGTAATATCTTAACCACGAAAAACTGTCTGAATGGCAAAAGTATCTGAGCGCCTTTGAAACGTTTATTGTTACTTCAATTTTGCACTTATGCTGATTGGCCAATGTTACGGCAGTAAATAAGGAAGTATATACTCGGGGAAACATTCATAATTATAATCAGAGATTTATAAAGTTGTTATACATAAATACGCTGCACAGACGCGATGCTCATATTTATGGAAAATTTAAATTGTTTTGCCACCCAGAGCGGAGGGCTTCGCGACCCAAATTTGGGTCGCGACTCCGTAGTTGCGGACCCCTGCTCTAGAACACTGGTTCTCAACAGGAACATTTAAAGGTGGGCCACAGACCTATTAAAAATTGCTAGAGTTGCTGATAAAGTTAGTTAAATTTGATGGTAGTAGCAACGGATGATGCTGTTTTTTGTTACAGGGTGGTAATTTCCACCTAATTATTATTAAAGTGAAAGTGTCAATTTTCGCAGAATTTTTTATATGTTTTTCGTTAAATTTTCCCCCAGCATGAAAAAGTTAGTGGACTACAGAATTATTGTGCAGCAAAAATGTGCCACAAATGAAAAAAGGTTTAGAACCATTGCTCTAGATTTTAGAATATATATGTTATATAATTTAAACTATCCTCATGATGTTGGAGACAGACTTGTATACGCTGCGCAAAATTGTCTTGGTTTTGTGGTCTTGGTTCATTGGTTTTATGCTGAAGTGCACTTCCTGCTACCTGGGCATGTCAATAGCAAAAATATTGTTTACAGAAAGGGGCACATTGGGAAGTCTTACAGAGAACGCCACACCCAGTGCGCGGCATGTGTAGACATTTGTGTACGTAATGTTCCGTACGATTATGGAAACGAATATCGAACGGTGAATATGGAACATTATGTGATGGTGCTGGAAAAGTGCTGAACAATATTTAAACAACATTGATGATTAGGATTAGTGATGAAGATTAGTGGTTTCAGCAAAAAGTTCTGTAAAAAAAATTAGATAAATTTTCTCAAATTTCGAAGAAGTAATTGGGAAATTTAAGGGTTCGGTTTTTTAGGTAACTCTGTATTTCGTTTTTTCTTTTCGAAGTATTTTATTATTTTGACCTATATATTTAATACAATATATCGCTTCATACAGAGTCATTTTCATATTTTAACTCTTCAGGCCACAATTCAACTTACCTGCGACCAGTCCACATTTTCTTTGATGTCAAACCCCATTTGTCATGAATGATCGAGGTTGATTGACTATGGGCATCTATACCCACAGTTATATACACTAATACAAATAGGCTACATATCAACAATTATTTTGCAGTTTATACAACCTTCCTCTAGCACACTTTCAGAATCATATCGGCTGATGCAAGTCATTCCATATTGATATCAGTCGGGATAGAAAATGGCGTTTCCAAAGATACTTCATCATGATTTCTATAGCTTTGTTTACAATCCTCTTCCATGTACTCGTATATATTTGTACATTTTCTATGTGTACTTCACAGTTGTAAAATTTTGGGTATTTTGTAGAATAGAAATGGCTAAATATAATTCAGAAATAAAATAAATTCACTCCGAAAATTGCGCCTTTTGAAATTGAAGATTTAAAAAAAGTTAGAAACAGTCAGGAATTCGTATCACAACGGACTCAAATATTTTACTATGCTTTGGAATGAATATCAAAACAGGAGAAATGCCCATAAAATTAATTAAACGAAAACGAGTGAAACGACGTCATGGATATACATTGTCAAACACCGGAACATAATGACGGTATGCAACTGAAACGAATGAGATTTATAGAAATGATGAGAGATATCACAAAGTGTGGGGTCAAATTATGGTGTTTCCGTAGAATTATTCTAAAAAAGTATTTAATATTTATTCCATTCTAAGAGAGCAGTGTCCGAAGATGGGTACGAATGTACAATGACTAACAATGAGACAGTACCGGTAGCCTACGGTGTCTACAAATGCCGTTTCTAATTTGTGCCATTTTAGGGCATTTGTCTCACATATACCAAATGTCCCACTATTCCAACTGTTACCATATAGATTATAGAATATATATATATATAGAGAGAGAGAGACAGAGAGAGAAAGAGAGAGATTGTATTTCACAAATAATGTCAACACTATAAAACATTTGAAGCAACTGAAACAAAAAATAATAATCCAAAATAATTGGATATCACCATTTGTGAGGGTCGGCATACAAGACCGGTTAGGTCACCGTGGTTTCTGACCCATGCTGTATATAAGAAATCAGATAGCATTGGCGATGAAATATGGATAAAAATAGAAATAAAATGTATATGTGCGAGTCGGCAATTCAATATTCTAAATTTAATAATGCAAGTCGTAGTGTTAAAAAGGTCACATGAAGGTTTTGAGTGTGGAAAGGTCCAAGGAATCAGAACAAACGTCAATATATATATATTTAATCTGTGTTTTTCTGTTTCTTGAATTGAATTGGTTTAGCCGGTTCGACATTTGGCTCATTGCATAAGCGTTCGGCAAACGATCATCACCGAGGCGCAAACTGTCTTGCGCTACGCGTGAGATGAGAATTCGTAATATTTCTGGACTTCTCGCTGCTCAGTGGGGCTAACGCATGTCGGCTTTCTCCACCATTACGTGGATACATAAAACCGATTAACCAGTTCCATTCTTATTTGGAAAGACATTGAGGCGAAGCCGTGTTTTTTTATTCTTACCCCCGAAAATAAATTTAAAACGCTATTTAATGATGGCTCAATACCTTTTAACATGGCTCATTGTAAAATGAATATAAAGTCAAACTAATATTTTATCTTACCTGTAATTGTTCTTGCATTTTCTTGGTCATGGGCTGACTACGCCTTATATGCTCACTTCCACTTACTTTAATTTTAGCTGCAAATCGCAGTTCTAGAAGAAAAGGTGACCAAATTCCAGAACAAGATGGACGCACTAATTGGTTAGTAATATAAGCTCTGTTAGTTGCTCAGTATGGTTTTCTCAATATCTAGTTTAGAGAACTAGTTCTAATAAAGTTCTATGAGATAAACAAATTAAGTCGGTGTGATGTCAAAAATCAAACTTAATTCCGCAGGATGATACCTTGGCAAAGGCAAGAAATACAGAGGATTAATAGCAATGACTGTAAGTGGAAAAATCTGTCAAAGATGGGACCGTCAAACTCCACACCAACATTCTCGGTAAAATGGGAAACCAACATTAGCTCTGGTAGTCGTCGAAAAATAATAATAATTATTATATATATATTGCTCATCACTCTAGACTAGTCTGAATGCATGGATGGACGGACATAAGTCTCAAAGCCATAAGGTAGAATAATGAAATTGATTAAGAATAGTGTCCCATGCCAAAAGAAATAGTAGTGCGGCACGAAAAAACCATGTCAAAGTCATTCTTCTGGCAGAGGTAGTCGCCTAAGCACAAAATTATATTTAAGGTAAACAAACTTAAGGTTATGTAAAATATTTTTACTACTAATAATATGTTAATTTTTGAAACACGGTCTGTCGCGCAATGGCGATACGGGGAGTACCAGTACGGAACCACGTTTGTTTTAATTTATCTCCATCAACAGACCACAACTGGTCTGAAAATGAATACCCAGGCAATCAATCCCAAACATGAGCGTAAATGGCGAATCTGACCCAATCGCTTATTTGAAACATAATATGTGACGTTAAGGAATATAAAAATTTTCTTTACATCGAAAAATAAAATGTATCCAGGAAAATATGATTAAACCAAGCGATTGGATAATTACTGCTAGTGGTGAATTCGAAATTTTAAAAAAGAGTTCTTTTGTATCGACTCACTAACAACAGGTTCCCTCATTTAAAAAAAATGTAGGATGGGTTTGGAATCACAAATGTCTATTTATTCAGCTTTAGCAATGTGTTTATGGTTGATTTCACAATGTATGTGAATTCGAATATTGCATTCAGCTATTGTTAGTTATTCAAAGCATGTCCTGGCCCAAACAGCCCGGCACAAATTGATATTACTGCTATGGCTTACTCCAAGTCAGATTTTGCAGTTCAGAGTAGACTGTAATTCTAATTGTTCAACACGTGTAGGTAAAAAAATTCAAACTTGGACTAAAAATTAAATTTAACCGCATTCAGAACAAAAGACAACTATCCTCACTCAGGACTAGATGCAAACTTTTGTCGTAATCCAGACAACGAGGCGAGACCATGGTGCTACACTACGGATTCAGAAAAGAGATGGGAGTTTTGCGAGATACCAAGTTGTAAGTAATAATTTAGTTGAAAAGACACAAAATACAACACAGCCCAATGCATACAAAAATACCTCTGAAAAACGAATTTTTCATTTTCATCTATTTTAATTTAATATATATTATTTATTTAGGTTAAGAATAAGAACGAAAATGAAAGATACTCATCAAAGATCAAAAGGATTAATATTCAATAATCGGAAAATTCTATAAAAACAAAAAAGTTTAGAATCGAGTGAATAACAAAATATGACGATATCATCTCAAATTCATTGTTTGTATTTCATGATTTACAGGAGCGGTTGTTCAGTACGTGGCTGCATATTCTAATTCCCGATTGTATAAGTTGTCATACTATATTAAGCATTGTAACATTTACGGCTACCTCTTACTAAACTATAAAAACAGGGAGAAACATACACGATTATATGGTATCACGGAGACTTCCAGATAGATAGACTTTCCCATATTTAATAAGGTTGCTGTTTGTTTTACTCTCAATTAGTAAGTGCGTAGAAGCAGACTGGGCAAGGGTTACAAAACTTACTTCGTGAAAGACCTGAGGAATACGGAGATTTACGTAGTGGGTTGGATCACTCAGGGGGTTTCAGAATACTGAAAAAGTCTTTAATAACGAGTTTTCTAGCCTGATTTCGTTACCCCTCAGCTTTCACATTTTCTACCCGCTGCCATATCTGCCTCAACCTTCTTATCCCTATCCCCTACACACTGCCATATCCCCATCATCCTTCCTACCCATTGCCCAATTCTTCCTAGATTTCCTTCCCCACCGCTCTCAGCATCCCTATCTCCAACCCTCAGCCTTCATATCTTCGACCCACTACCATATCCCCCTCAATCTTTCTATACTCGACCCACTGCCATATCCCCCTCAGATTTCCTGTCCTCAACCCACTGCTCTCTCTCTAATATTCTTACAATGCTACCTCCGACTCCGTCTCGAATATAGCTGCGCCCTGCCAACGCTCTACAGGCGCAACTATACCAATGAGGTTATTGAAGCGTACAAGTTAATATCATGATTAGATTTAAGTATGAAAAAGATTCATAGCTCCAGTGAGTGCAAATAATGACTAATCAAAAATGTTTGAAATCTTGGAATGGCGTCTTATTTACATGATTTTTCAAGCCATTTAAGCTGCATTTTTCATAAAGTTTTGAATGAATGTGAGATTGAATCGCCAACCCTTGTAGGCGTATTGTCTGAAATCCCAAATGGTAATTCACCACCATAAGTGGTAGCTTAAAAATTTTACTCTGCTAAGTTGCTGGAGCCTTAGATTCCATTCGACTCGGACGTGTGTATTCGGATTAAAATTCAAAAATATGTTATTTCTTTCAGTATTGGTCAACCGGAATGAGGTTTTAAATGGGTGTTGGCATGACGTAGCACTGGGAGGAAAATAAAATTTTCATATTTGACGAACAAAGCTTTACTGCTACCGCAATCAGTAGCTCAAATAGGCGTGTGTAAAACTTTCGTTAATCTCATTCTAAGATGAATTTGCCATGCAATATATAGCATAGGAAAGCCAACTTCCGCCGATAAATTCTGGTTGGAAAACCGCACAAATGGTAACCAAATAACTATTTAATTTTTTAGAGGCAATTGATGCGTGCGTATTAAAATTCTTCTATATTTATAGTTATACTGCTCAATAAAATGACCCAATATATTTATAAACCGGGTGGATAGGACGCAACAAAAATAGATAAATTCAAAAAAATACTATAACCAAATGCAACTATATAGGTGACCGTACATTTGAACCCACGTGTATATTCGCGGGTCCAATCTATATGCGGGTGCTTAAACCCATGGGTTAGGGTTAGTATGGGTTCAAATATCCGTAAAACAACAAAAGTTTCCATAGATGCAATAGTATGCAGGTGCAATTGTCGTGGGTTCAAATGTAATGGAACCTACTTTATATATTATAAGAAGTGAAATAGGTTTGGTTGCTGCATCATTGGTGGGCAAATTATGGCCCGTGGGCAGGATGCGGATCACCGAAGTGTTTTATCCGGCCCATTTGTTGTGCCTGCCAAAATTACGACTATAGTTTTTATGAATATAAATTGCCGTTGAAAAAATCGATAAAGTAACGGCTTTGTTGGCTAAAATTGATACTGTGACTCCCCGCGAGTTATCCGCGCCTGAAAATAATGTAATATTAATTTCTGTCTGATACATCAATTCCAGTAATTAAATCCAATTATTATGTCTGTACTCACGTCTCTTTCTAATCTTCCAACTTTATTTAAACCTAAAGCATCTCCTGCAACAAATACCTATTGTATGTACATCAGTGAAACAAGCAGGAAGGCAAATGTTATCAACGCTAATTATTTGTATATAATATGTTTTACTCATATTGAGTTTTAAACCTCCGGTCCAGTAACCAAGTTCAATATATGTGAGTATCCAAATTAGGAAAGTCATTGACCACCCCTGCGTGACACTCTATTTGCTTTTTACTGATCCTCGTGTCAGATGTTGCAGGTCGAGGGGAGTGCAGCAAAAATGCACAATAGGTGAACTAGGTGCAGTTGTTGCGTAATGCGATCATTTTTACATATCCTTGATGTTGGGTGATTTTTCTTTTGCTACTCGTAAGTCAGTTCGTTTACTCGGAACCTGCAAAGTCGAAGTTGGCTTGTTTCTACTAGAGTTCAAATTTTCAATCTGCCCGGAGTCGGAATTTCATACTTTCAATGATGCTTATAATAAAAGTAAACATTTTTTTCAGAAACTCAAAAAGCATTAACTTTACTAAGCCTTCTTAACAGCCTTTTGAAGAAGGATTGTATACGATAGCAAGTTTTCGTTGTCAAATTTTAATTACAACCATTACAACTATTACAAAAAAGACGTATAGGCTACAACGTTTCGTTGGCCATTTCATTACTTTGCAATGTCTATGGTAAATTTTCTGCATATATATATATATATGAATTTGAAATAACATCTCAATTCTGATAAACATTGCAAAGCAGTAAATTTGCCATTTGAGTTTTTTGTATGCTTGAATAATATACACTATACAGCATTGCCAAAACATAAATATTGGTGTATTTCCACCAGTCGAATAACGTCTGGGATTAGAGTTCAATCATAATTGGTAACCCCTGTTACGTAGTGGGCCCTATGCAGAATACAAGCACGTGACCTGTTTTAGGACTGTACCACCTCTTTCTTGGTCGGATAGCTATCGAGGTTGGTTTGGTTTTTCACGCTCTCTATTTTTATATATATATTCATTATATCCGTGCTATTCTGCTGGATAATAAAGTACTTTCTTTTCTCGCGTTTACCCTTTCGGATTCATTTCTGCCGCAAGTAAAATATCCACTCTAAATTATTAAAACCTACAATATATAAGAATGCGTATTTTGGACAACGTTTTTATTAAAAATGATCACTCGATTCGACACAATCAACAGCATATACAAAAGCAATGGGGGAAAGCTTTGAGCCATGGTAGCCTACAAGAATAGGCAGACGGAGGAGATAGCAGGTAAGGTTTTTTGTGAGCGATGTTGAGCATTTACCAGTAGCTCAGAAATAAACAAAGCCAAGCTTTGGGGTGTCATGGAATTCAATACTGTTCCATGTATTACCAAAAATTCTTGCATCAACTGACATCTCTTGCAACAATAAGCCTTTCATGAAACTCGGATATCAATTCACGTATGTATGACCGAAGATTCTTGTATGAATTGAAATCGTTTGCAAAAATTAGCCTGTATGTAGCGGATAGAAATTCAAAACTTGCTTGTGAGTACACTAATCATTCCGTTTTAAAATAAATGCTGCCGGCAAGTTTGAGCATGCTTGATTAAAATTGTAGCAATATGAAAACCAAATCTAAAGCCATATTACTTTACAAATGCAGGGTCGATGTACCTTTAACTTCTTGACCCGTTTTAACAGTATCGTCGTAATATCGATGACCATTCAAAACGTTTTCTTTTCGATGCGCCCTGGGGGCTCAGAGTAATAAACTCTGGAGCGTGATCGAATACAAAAATGGAGCTATTGATTGATATAAAAACAAAGAGAATGGAATAGAATAATAAAATGCAACATTTCAGATTCTCAATATAATAGTATGAAAACTTTAAAGAGTTATCATCGTAAAAAAAAATAATTACAAAAAAGTGTAGCTGAAAACGTTACACTGAATGAAACATAAAAACTGCAACGTTGTGTTCCCACAGCTCGCCAACGAATGATTGTTAATAGACGTCAGAAAGATCCGCCCGACTGGTGTTCGACTCGAAGACGACCCACACCTGTATTAGCTTCTGATGCACGATAGCCCATTCTTGCACGAGGTTCATCAAATTCTACGACCTGTACTTGAAGATTCAGAAATGTCTTCATATGATGAACTTGAATACCTTGCGTGAAATCCTTTCTTATTGATTGTGTCGTCAGAATGGAAACGTAACAATAACGAACCGGAAGTAGACATTATTGTGCTCAGAGCCTGAAAGAGGGAAAGCGATTAAATATCAGATAAAATTTCATAAAAACAATCTTTTTAGGAACTGGTGATTTAGAAAAAATAAATATTCAAAAGTGTAATATATGCACGTTAAAGTTTTTGGAAGTTTTTTTGTACACTAAAGACACACTTCGATTGAATAAGAGCAAAGTCGTTATATAGCGTTTGACAAAAGCTATATTTTGTCATTACCTTTGATCCACAATATCGACCAAATCTAGTCGCAGAATCATCTTCTCCGTCATAAACTTCAACAAAATCATAACTGCAATCTGTCTCCTCTTCAACCTAATAAATAAAACATTTGGTAAGAGTGGATACCTAGAAACATGACAGTGCGAAAACTCTGAAGAAAAATAGCACAGGATCCCCTCGAAAGTGCTGTACCCAATAATGGTAGATGCAAATAACGACCGGATATTTACATATAGCCGGCAAATATTTTTGTTATATACGAATTTATATAAAGTTTTCGCAATTTTCTGACGTGCACCATCACACCCAGTGTGAAAGATTCAAATAGCATAACATAAGAATTGATCTTTTTCGCTGTGACAGGTTTGGATATCTGCCTGAATATTTGTGGGGACCTTGTTGGAAACAAGAAACAAATTATAACAAATTTAATAAGTTTCCTAAAGAAAAAAACGATGCAAATTCAAAGTATCAGTTGGAACAAAGGAACCATGAAAACAAAACACTTTTCCTGTTTACAGTAAATACAATATCATTGATTTACAAGTTGTGGCAACAAAATAGTTTGCTCGTTGTTTTTTTTTGTAATTCAGTTAAATATATTTTGAGTTTGAGTTGTTTTAGAACAATTTTTAAACCAAATTATACATATAATTATAATGAATATTTCATTTCAAGGAAGTTTTTAAGCAAATTTACTATTAAAATATAGGAAGAGACAGCGAGTGAAAGTACTCAAACGAAAATAAAATAATGTCTTCAGTAATTCTGCTTTGAATAAAAAAAAATAACTACAAGATAAAGAAAACACAAAGTCAGAAAGAAACAAGGGGATAAGTGGCCTAGATGATAAATTCATTCAATTTTTCGTTAGTATAAAGTGATTCATTGGGCAGCGATAAAAAAAAATTTCAGATTGTATGAAAAACGAAATTCACTACAACATGGCAAAATATCATACATAAAGCAGAAATTTAAACTTGCAATTTTTTAATTTAAATTTTCAAAAGTATCGATACCAATTCCCCCCGCCGATTTAACTACAGATATAAATACTTGTAATCAGAATGTAAACCTACCTCAAAAGCTGTAAAAGTAAGTCGGACAACAAGTCCAGTATCTGCTGTTATAATCCAGTCACATTCCTGTCCACTAATATAATTATTATCTCCATATTGTGGATGAGAAAACAAATCTTTCGAACGTGTGCTCGCGTTTAAATTTCCACCGCAAACTGAAAAAGTAAGAATATTTTAATTATAAAACGAAATCGCACAGCTGGCCTATCGACTTTTCAGTATTTATTGCTACCTAAGTAGTTACTTAATTCCAGCTGCATGTTAGATTCATATAGAGTAAAAGTTAAAAAACCATCGAAAATGACTGACAGAGAGGATACTCATCTTAAACGTTCTCCCATCATGGAAAAAAATTAGTTTGATTGCCGATGGATGCTAATAATGAACATATTTGCATAAAACAGAATAAAATTTCAATCCAGAGTAATTTTGGAGTTATCCTAACTCCAATGTTATCATTGCAAAATTATGATCTTGTCTTCCAAGTCCCATTTAACTTAATTGTTCAGGTTATAATATATACGGGCATAATTAACCTTTCTTCTAAAAACATCAGAATAAAGGGATGATAACTGTTTCTCTCATTGATAGATGCGTAGCTTATACTAATTTTGATTTAGAGTGTAGTCCAAATGTTGGAAACGACTCAAATTTACCGACTGGAAAACGAGACAAATCTATTTATTTTTATGTTAGGATGAAAACGTTTTTAAACGACAGTGCTGTCAATTTGTTCGCACTTTTAACGCCATAAAGTTTATTTTAGATTAAGATGTGCATGCAGGCGCAACGCACTAGTTTTAAAGTCGTTTTCCCAGCATCGATCATTTTGCCCGCCGCCAGGAAGTACCAGTTTTTTGTAAGTAGCAAAAACAAATATGACAATTTGTAAACATAATCTTTTTTAAATTTTCAGCATACCACTGTTAAGTGCCAGAATTCTTACTCAGTCAAACGTGGAGGATCAAATATTAGGCGACCTCAGATAAGGTCATGCGTGATTTCAATGGCATGACATACAAGGAAAGCAGTGCAGCTGAAAAATTAATCGTGACTATACGACCATGGAAAGTTGTTACAGACTACCGGTAATTTTAATATCGCTCTTATGACACTTGTTTGTATAGACCTTGAGTCCCCAAAGATCCGAATTCGAAACATTATTCATCTCCACGACAATTTACTACATTTTATTTTTGCTTCGAAATAAGCCATTCATAATTTATAAATTTGTTGTTCAAGCTAATGCTCACCATGCTAACCAGGAAAGAATAAAACTATAAGACTGGGGCAAGTATTTCTCCCTGTGTTATAACCAATCAATATTTAGGAAAATGTTTATGTAAATCAAATTTACCAGTTTGATGTGTTGCAGAAAATCCTCTTTTTTGTACAGAAGCATCAGAGAAAAATTTGATAAACATAATACTAGTAGTGGCGACAATAGTTCCGGGTTTTTTACTTCCGCAATATCGACCTAAGACTGTCTGATCGCTGTCAGAACCATCATATAGTTCTAAATGATCGTACGCGCATTCTGGCTGTGTTTCGAGTTCAAATTCATGGAATACCTAAAAAACAAGTTCACAGATGAGTATATCCTGATAATGTTAGCAGTAACTATGGTTGATTCATATAGTATAATTTTACATAATTTTTTTTCAACAATTATAGGGTTTCGAAACAAATGGTAAAGGCTGAAATTTCGAAAAATATTTATTTGAAAATATTACAAAGCTAAAGGTTTCTTGAAGCTGGTATGCAATAATAGCTCTAAGCAGATCATCATGGTATTTCAATAAAAAGCTACAGAAATTCAAAAATCAAAACTATATTTTTTCTTATTTTTCTAAAGCAAGCTTTTTGAAGATTCGCTTTTTTGGACTGAATAGTCATTTGCAATGATACTAAATTTTAAAGAATACAAATTGGACAATTTTGCAATATACAATATAACATGTACGAATTTGTCTCGTAATTTCATTTGAAAGGGCAAATTTTTAAAAAAAAAATCTCATTTCATCACAATACTTTCGTGTTTCGCCTAACTGTATTGCTGAAACCCTAACCCAACATTTCTCAACCGGGGAAAAATCCCCGGGGAAAAACCTCAAGGATATATCCCCCCCCCTCCCTATGAAGAAATTTGGCTTTGTATTTGCTGTAGTGTTACTAATATTCCTTAATTCTTTATCATTTCTATAATATTTATGCACGCAATATAAAGACAGGCGTGCGACTAGGTAAGAATCCATTGAGAATTGGATTAATTAGTAACTTTTTATGCATAGTGAGGGAGGAATAATTAGTTCCAAAACAGGAGGAGGAACTTAACGACACGGGTTGGAAACCACTGAACTAACTAACTTAAAACAAGTTGACAAGTTGACTGTTCTTAGTATTTATACTTACCACTTTGACTCTGTGCCCTGGTGTAGTTCTTATTAACCAAGTGCATTCCTTTCGACTTGGGTATTTATTTGGCCAGTTTGGACTTGTTATCTCTCCGACTGCAGTTTTAATATCATGTTTGCATCCGGCTTAAATAAATATATATAAATTAGGCGTTATTTTCACTGATTCTCTCAAATACTAGTTTTAAATGTCAAGCGAAAGATACCGACTCATAACTGAGTCAAGAAGATTGTCTATTGATCGCTTCCAATTTAAAAGTTCAACAAGCTCTTCACTTACCTTCTTTGCATCCTCGTTTGTTCGTGTGCAATACGTAACCGTTTCTACATGTACAACTGTAACTTCCGATCGTATTCACACATTCATGTTCGCATCCGCCATTGCTTATAGCACATTCATCTTTATCCGAAAAGAATTTTATTTTGAAACCTAAAAACCGAGGATATATTTAATATTAGAACTATTAGCAAAACTATTAGCAATATGGCGGAAAATATACCTTATATCGGTGTGTATCTTTTTAATGTCGAATGGGTGGTTCTTTGGGAAAATTTTGCAATTTTCCCTATTTTTTATAGTGATTTTTAGCTTTTATTGACATGAGTTTAAAAAATAATTTATATTGTTATGACAGCTTTCAAGATACTAAAAAATTTTAAAAATCGAAATATTGTTATAGAATCATAATTCGATTTTCCGATATTAAACACAACGCCTTCAAATACGACGACTTACCCCTTTTGGAAACAGTATCGTCTGATTTAAAAGCGAGGCTCATTTCATTTATTGTTGATCTGATGACAGGAGGAAGTTCAAGTCCACAAAACCTTCCGTGAAATTTAGCGTCGTCACTCAAACCACTACGGATTTCCACATAATCGTATTTACAAACCTGGATTTTTGACATAAAAATTAAGAATTGAACAATCTGAGGAAAAATTGATAAAACGCAATGTGAAATGATATAAATTTATTTGTATATGCGCTGCTCAATTTGAAGAACTTATTAGGTGTGTATTCAGGATAAGTTAGAAGTAGAGATGGTCCCAACTTGCATTTGAAAAAATCTTCTTTAGCGGGATAATGATACACAACTATGTCAAATATAGATTCTAATAATTTCAGTGTTCTGACATATTTTTTCTGTAATTTAGTTCAATTAGGATGATCCTAAGCAAGTCTAATATGCGATAATCAGTGTTTTAATTAAGGTTCTACATCAGTGAGTTTAAAATAAATTATTTCTATCCAAAAATGTTCGTCTTATTTTAGACATAACACCCAAAATAACAAAATAAATTCACATAATACCAAAAAATTCAAAACACCACTATTATATCCTAAAATTACGAATTAGTCATTTTGTAATCTCGTGAAATTCGGATTTAATTCCTAAATTGAGGAATAATAACAGATGATATTGCAGCGGGGAAACTAGCTTCTTCCAACGCATGAGTCAAAGAAGATGTTGGAATATAAGCCTCGCTTTGGGTGTAGTTCATGTTTGAGCGAGCTATTAGTTATAAGCAGACTCTAAATAGTACAGCCTCAATAATGATCCTTAAATTGAGCATTTGAAGCCGATGATTCAAAATATAAGCGACAGGGCGGAAAATGTCTGAAAGTATATTGAAGTCATTGTATCAGTATTTCTCCTGAGCGGATCCCAAATACAAATAGGCAAAAATATTAAAATTGATTCGCGCCCTATCCGCTTACTGTACTGGGCGACACTGAATGCCAGGATATACTGAAACTACATACCAGCATGGCGGTACATTATGCGAAGGCAAATGACGCTAGGAGAGGAAGCATTTCAAGCTAATAAGATAAAATTGCTATGAAATAGTGGAAAATATCGTAAAAAGTCATTCTACATCATTTAAGCTCTTTGAAAAAGCTACGACGCAAAATATGCTTATGTATAAAGTGCCAATGATAGCTCGCAAGTTGCGAGTGGCAGCCAACGAAATACGACAGCTGAAATCTTTTCTAGAAAGGACGAGTTCAGAATGTACAGATCTCATAATGTTTCAACCTCTGAATGTTGCGCTTGCAATCAAAAATATTCGGAAGCTGAATATCTGCGAAAAAAAGAGAAACCAACCTCATTTCCTTCTAATTCAAACTTTTCAAATTGAATAGAAATCTTATGTTGAGGTGGAGCTACGATTTGCCAGACACATTTTTTGTTTGTTGGATATTCATTGGGCCAATTCGGTGAGGTGATATACCCATCCAAATTTGTAACGGACCCGCCACAAGCAGCTTCACAAGTTCTGAAATATGAGCATTTTCGAAAAATTATGATTATATTGATTGTAAATCAATTTATAAGCAAATTAAATCAGGATAAAACTTTTTTAAATAAAATTCGTATGTACTGAGCAAATATTAGTTACAATTAATAATTAAAATCAGAAAATAACTGAATAAGTGATCAACCAGACGTGCTCGGTGGCGATCCGTGAACAGTTCGTTATCGGTGCCTACAGTTTCCATGTTGAACGCAATTTCTGGCCCAAAGTGCCAAAGAGGCAGCCGACATTGTTATTAACGGCTAACTAATCAAATAATATCTTCGAGAATAATATTCCATAAAATATTCAATCACTTTTCCAAATATCAGATAAAATTTGATCTGAAAATCGCAATTCGTATACCATTTACTGATATTCTTTCACTGAGTTAATAGGCATGTTGGATCAATTCGGTTGAATTTTGGGGAACTTTGCATGTCTGACCCGGTCGGACCAGTGCTTGATTCAAACCCAACCTTCGCAAGAAGTACGAAGTATATATATTCTATACCCCGATCTATGTCTGAGCTATTAATAGTCTCACTAATAGGCTTATTTTGAGCAAAGTCGTGTAAAACATCATGAAAGTTCATTTTATTCATCCTTTGATGATATCCTTTGATGGCCTATGATAACAGAAATAAATCTTTGATGTTTGTTTATATGTATTTAAATTTGAAAAATATCCCAGAAACATAATTACCTGGTTCAACTTGTAACAACAACTCATAATTCATGAAAGTTTCAAAATAGGGGTAATTAGTGAAATTGACAGAAAACGAATGGATTCGAAGAAGAAAACCTAAGTTATTTGTCAGTTGTCAGAGAAAAGTGTGTAAATGTGTATTCATTTGTGAAGTTTGTTAACCGACACCACACAAATATACAGTAAATTGTTTAATTCAATTGCAAATTAAATTAAGTAATTTTATGTATGTTTGTTCAATATCTGTTTACAGTTTTTTGCTTCCTAGTATTAGTCAAAACGCCCCAAAATATTGTGCTTGTGGGTACAAAGTTTGTGGAATGAATCACACAATTTTCATTTTTTGTGCGGTCAATAACAACATACCAATTAAAAAATGCGGGCGATACTGAGAAAAAAATTACCGAAGGTTAAAATTGTAGACGATGAATTCGGAAACCTATTATGAGGTGGTGATTTCCAGATTAGACTCTACTTTACAATCACTTGGACTTCGATTGAATTTTCGCTTCAACGCGCGGAGTTTAATTTACATCAAATCACTCGTCGAAGAAGGATTTCTTTTTTTATAGAATCGTGCATCGTGGCTGCATCTTGATTCACTTAGGATCTTGGGCAAACGATGCATCCAGACCGGTATAACTAAACTAGCTTATAAGGGGGGAATGGATTATTATGCCTGCAATGTCCAAGTTATCAATCAAGTAATCCAACATATCAAGACTATTTGTCTACTTTAACAAATGTAATGCCAAGTTACGTTAGCACCTTGTTATATCATGCACCTCCAACATTTCTATCGTCAATATGTTAGTGTAACTACCTTCCATCCGCTGCAAGTTCGTACCCAGGATCACAAACACATTTGTAACTTCCCAATGTATTGACACATCCTTGTTGACAACCACTCTTCCGTTTGTCTTCACATTCGTCGATTTCTTTGAAAAAACTTGCTGCAAACCCAGCTTTGTTTACTGATCCTGTAAAGAATATATTAAATCAGAATGAATTGAGTTTTTATTTCATTCTCCTAAGATCAAAAGAGTAATTTTCAAATGAGTAATACAGAGTAAAAAATTGCCAGCGACGGACTTCAGGCCTAAGGAAATAATTTTTGAAATCAATTGTGACGACACAATATTGTTCTTTTAGGGTGCGATGCTTGTGAAAGCAATATTCTGAATTGCTGAATCTTGTTTGCATCACATCAGGGAAAAAACACACAATACCTAATCTATACATTACTATGTCGTGGCCAAAGTTCAAATTCCACAGCAAGTGTTTGGGCTCGAGTTCAAATGTATTGTTGTGTAAACAGATTTAAATTTAAAATTTATATGAAAATATATATAGAGAAAGCTGTCATTGATTAAAACCACAAACTTGGTCATAAACCCCAATTTTGACGAAGGCTAACAGGTCTCTTGGGTCAGATGTCGTTATTATAATTCACCATTTGTCGTTTTAGAGTGTTGTGATATTATAATGTGTCTGAGTTTTATGAGGCATGCCTTCGGTATTTGTTCAAGCAATGACCCTTGCATTCAAAAACAATTTTACTGAGTCGTCATGCGGACAAAAATTTAGTTTTGGACACGCGATAGCTCTTGACATACAGTGACACTTTGCAAACAGAAGGGTTGATTACTGTATCACGAATTATCTTCGTTTTTGAAACAATCTGAATATTGGCCAATGAGATTTTTAAAAATATGTCACATTGTCCTAAATTCATTGTTGAACAATAGGTTTTTTGTGAAGTGAAACATTCATTCAAAATCATTGATCATGTCGTTGCAACTTTTCCTGTAACCTAACTTAAGATGACATTTCAATCTTATACTATTCCTCACTCCAAAGCTGAAATGGGCAAAGTGCGGCCCGCAGGCCAAATTCTGCCCGTTGGGTAAATCAATTTGGCCCGCCCGATGCTGCCACAATCAAAGTCAAACCAAATTTTGATGCTTCATTTAAAAAACAGCTCAAAGAGATTGTTGAGATTGCGATTAAATTAAGTTTTAACACGAGGCTTATTGTTTTCCACTTTTGCTTTCGTAACACTGTAAATATTGTCCATAAAATATAACTTTTCACGTGGTTCAAGAACCTTACCCAACCCTGCTCTGAAGTGACAATTTATTTTGAAATATAACAATCAATTAGGTATTAAAGGGAACTAGAAAGTGTTTGGAATCAGATGGAAATCATGATTTAATTTACGGCGTTAACATGCCACGACACCAAAAGATAAAAGGATTTGAATTCGAAAATAAAGAAAAAAAAGTCAAAATAAGACTTCAAAAATTCCATCTTACCGTCAGACACAAATTTGATCCATAGTGTGTTCGAGGTAGACTTGACGTCTTCAGGTTTATCGTATCCGCAAAATCTACCAATCAAATCAGAGTCTGCTGTTGGACCATCTCGAACCTCAAGATAATCGTACGAGCATGTATCATGTCTTTCAACCTGTCACAAATAATAGAATAAAAAATAAAGTTATATCTCAATCTTCATATCTTCGTAGTAAATTTACAACACGGCAGGTTGGTTGCTTACCTCAAAGGCTTGAAATGACAATCCAACTCGAAAACCTTCATCGACAACTACTTTCCAAATGCATTCTTTACTAGGTCTGTAATCGTCCGGATAGTTTGGACTTTGAATTTGTCCAGATTCTTTCCGGATAGTACCACCGCACACAGCTTCATACTGTAAATAAGTTTATTTAATGTTAACAGGGTGGAAAATATGACAACACTTTTCGTGCAATGATGTTTTAGACGAGCTATATTTTCAATAAAAATGATAAGAGCATTGTTTTAAAAGCAACCTTAACATTTCTATTCAAAAACGTTGCTAATGAATTGTATCCGTATTTTATTTCTCTGAATAAAAGATAGACTAGATAGATAGTCCGAATAGATTTCGGAAATTTAGGTAATTGAGTATTTCTTTTCACGCAAAATGTTTTATTTTTGCACCGAGTTATATTTATATAATATAACGTCTTTATAAAATTTGTTTTTCTAATACCTTAATTAAAGTTTCCATGCCGAGATAGTTTTGAAATAACTTTTTGTATTCCTAAAATTACCATTGACAAAATAATCCTTTTTTTGTAGAAAACTGTAAGTTAAACATGTTCAATAATGCATTCTTGAACAAACATCTGTTCCATTTTAGTGAACATAACTTTTTTTAACATTATTTATGTATGTGTTGCCAACCTTCAATGTGAAACCTCTTCCTTGATAATACGTTGAAGTTCGAAATTGAAGCCACAACCTGCTGTCTGTCGAAGTTATTGTCGCGGGAAGAGAGCGACCGCAATATTGACCTAAAAAATCAAATATGAATTGTGAGTTACTTACAGAATGTGTATTCGTTCAATTTCGTCTTACGAAAGTCAAAATTTCAAATTCTCAGAACCTAGAATACATTAAATACGCAAGATGCTAAGGCGTCGGTACGCAGGGTAAGCCGTGTTCTGATTTTGAATTGTTGTTAAAGCATATACTATGACAATAATGAAATTTAAAGCACGTCTCAAATGCCATTATCTTAATTCAAGGTTTAATAATGTACCGCCGTTCAGAATCGATAGTCTGTTGCGATCATATTTGTTTAATTAAAAATTACCTATTTTTGGAGACCTGTACCAATGCCCGTCTCGAATCTCCAAAAAGTCGTAATAACAACCTTCTCTGGAATATAAAAAAATATATATAGCTATCAATTAAATAAAGAAAAAATAACTTGATATGTATGCATGATATTATGTAACAATAATTAATTATAGAATATTTTAGAGAAGACCATGTGATATGATAAAAGTTTCGCCATAATAATGATATGAATATTTTAATTTTCAATTTTCGAAACGCCGTAAATTTTTTATTTAATTAAATTTATCGTAATTGTATGTCCATATATTACGATTATATAATCTCCAAATGAATGAAAATGAGATGCACTAGAATCTTGACCAAAAAGATGTGCTAGGACAGCGGTTCCCAAACTATGGGTCGCGACCCACTGGTGGGTCGCAAGAGGAATCTCAGGGGGTCGTGAAAAGATGTAGAAAGCTTTGATCAATTATACTGGTTATTACGATCGATGGCAAAGCAAATTTAAAAGCAAATTTCGAAATAAACTGCAACTTTTCAATTTTTTACGTCTAAAACTATCTGAAATGGAAATAAATGTCAAGTCTATTATGGAAAATAGCAAGAAACAATCTCATCTTTCTCACTAGCTTCACTGAAAATTCAATTAGAGAAATTAAATTTGTTTCCTCCGTCAATGTTTTATTAATTTATTAAAGGTAAATGGGTCGTAAGAAGCTGTGGTAAAAATAGTGGGTCCCAACTCTAAAAAGTTTGGGAACCACTGTTCCAGGATATTTCTAATTTCAAATGATTGGAACAGTTGGTAGACTGTAAAAATATTTTAAGAGATTTAAAAATTGAACGTATCAAATATAAGCATTCCATTTACTTACGATTCATAAATGTCCAATGATGTAATATCAAGAACAATTTTTTCTCCGGGAGTTACGCTGATTCTCCAAATACAATGAGATTCTGCAGGATAATATTGAGGATAATTGGGCGAAGTGATGTTACCGGAGGTATCTTGCAAAGTGTAACCGCATGCTGTAAATAAAATAGAAATGTAAATCGGGTGGTAATACCACAATTTCTAATCTGCACTAATTTGATTTAAATATAAAATTTTCATGCTCCGCGTAGCCTTTTCCCCCAGGTAAAATCTTTTATTTGTTGGTCTACTGTCCCCTATATTGCCGCGGCAGGATTACAGCTAATCACATGTACAGTGGTTGTTTCGAATAGTCCTATAGCCTTGCTATATAGATCAACGTTTTTTATCATCATTATGCTATAATACTTATTTACGCACACAATATAAACTAAAAAGCGAGAGAGCGAATATTGTATAACAATAGTTAGGTATTCATTAAAAATTATTTAAATAAAGTATTTTTCATTCAGGATTTTTTTTTCAGGATTTTATGTTTATTTACTCACTATTACACTGATAAAGCTTCTTCGCTTGTGCAACATCGCCGTCACTGAGTCGGGTTCTCTGTCCAATTGTCGGTCTTGCGCCATTCGCATCGACTCTGGGTTTTATAGTATCCAGAAACATTCCTGGATAAATTATATGAAGATATAAAAAATTATCCAAATAAGGGAAACAAAAAGGAATCGATGCTGGAGGAATTTGGAGGAATATTTATATTTTTATTTTATTTGGGGTATAAATAATTCTCACAATACAGTAGAAATATGTAAAATTTCCATTTGCTTGTTAAATTTTATTAGTTTCAAATTTAGAAAATTGATATAAAATAATAGATAACAAATCAAATTGGTGTATATATTTTTACCTAAATGACCATTACACAAGCCAACCAAATAAACGATTGGCAAAATCGATTTTTCAATGAAATTCCTAAAGTGTTTAACTTTGGATATATTTGAAAACTTTAATTGCAGACGAAGGTTACTTAGTTATTTGCACAGCAGGCAGAAAGGTGATGAAGTTAACATTTTTCTGTTTTTCTACGAGTTAGCACCGCAGTGATCTGTATCCCGATCAGCATTTTAATCCAATTAGACTGAGTAATCCATTTGAAAGAGGTCGATATGATCATTTGTCTGCCAGAGTTTTGGAATGATTTATATATCAGAAATATGGGACATGCATGGGCTTTGTTGATGTGGAAGCAATGTAAGTATTTTTCACGTCTGGCATGGAGGTGGAAGATGAGATTTCCACCACAGAGTACGAGAGGTGGATTACCCTTATCGAGGTAACAGGAAAGAGGTTTCGAACCAGATGCTGACAGATGTACATAGGATTTGCAGTTGCCCCATTTCGACGTCCTGAGATGTTTATAGAGATTACCTTGTCCCATAAATGGTAGGTTAAAAAGGCCAAATATCTAATCAAATTTGGTCGGACCGCCCCCACAAAAAGTTAAACAAAGCGCCAAGCTGTACGGGATTAAAACAAAAGTTTCTGCTGTTTGAAGGTTAAAAAACAAAAGCGAATAGTTTCAGGAATCACGTTGTTAATTAGTTCGTGAGTACAAAAATAGTTCACTCTCATCTAAGTTTAAATCATGATGACGATTTTACGAGTACAAAAGGAGGAAATTGGGTTTACCACGTCCGTACTGATTCTATAAAGTAATTATATTCACAAAAATACTATTCAGAAGTAAGTGAATCAAAATTCCTTGTTTTGTAGAGGCATTTGTTGTTCGCGAAAGCTCGCCGACATGAATCACGAAGTTTAATAAAGTTTCGTAAATATGGCTATAAGGACATTGTGTTTTCAAATGTTTATCAAATTCAATAAACTCTCATTTGTTTATTTTTACATTCATCTTCATATTTTTACACCATTATTATATGAAGGCAATTCGGGGCCATCTTTTTATACGTTCACGTGGTGGTCCTTGGGTTTAAATCTCCAAAACATAATAAAAACTTCCAATGAACTTGCATGACAGAAATACCTCAATCTATATAATGAATTACTTTGTTTTCGGGTTTGTTCTGCTCTAAAATCCCTCATTTCTTATTTTTAATGGGTTTCGGATTTTTATCTCATACTTTGTCAAAATATTGACTCCAATCACCATAACATTGGATAATGGATTTATTGGATAAGTTTTAGTTTATAAATCTCCCATCTTCTCGTCTGTCTTTAAATGCATAAAAGACTTTGTGGAAATATGACAAATGAGAAAATAGCTCTATTCAGTTGACACATTAGGCCGTGGGGAATTGCGTCGATAACATCATGAGCAAAATGGACAATGAACATGCTACACATTTTTGAAAGTCAGACTCGATACGAAAATTTCGTAATTGTAAAACGATCATAAGAGATATTTTAGATGTGATAAAGTAAAACAAAATATGAAAAGCCAGGCAGAACTGGTCAAAATTATAATGAAATTAAATACTTTTGGTGGAATTGATCCGAATATTCATATAGTTCCATTATTGTTAAGTTCTAACTAAATAGACATATAATTAGCTAAAATTAGCTCATAATAAAGTTTATATTAGAGCTCGCCGAAGATAGCATTTAGTACATTTGAAGTACAACGATAAATAAAAGTTAAACCCGATACTTTGAGTGTAAACTTAAACAAAAAACGATTGATTTGAACGATTAGCGTTATAAATACAATTTGTTCACGAACATTTGGTTTATTTGATTAATCTGCTGACGATAAAAACTCAGGATATCTTCGACTTACACGACAGCCGACGTCCTGTCTTAATTTGAAAAACTCATAAATTTTACGATAAAGTGAAAAATGGGGTCGGATGATGACGATATGTAAATGGCGGGATAAATGGGATCATTTTATCGATCGTGAGTAAAAGTGGGGCTTTGTATGTATCGCCAAGCGGAAAATAGGCTTCATTGTTCATATGACTAATTTATTGTTGTTAAATTTCTACGATGTGACCTTTTTATCTCGCGAAAACCAAGCACCGTTCGTGGGAATTAAAAAAAACATAGGTCAACTCTTTGCTTACTGAGGTAACAGCTAGCTCAGAAAGTAATTTAGGTCACAGGGTTGCGGGTGAAAAATCCGTACCCATATAATTTCGTACATATCAGGCGATTGTCGATACGTTGTTTACGGACCCCAGAGTTGTGAAGCCAAATTAAAGATAGAATATGCATTGGACAATTATTTTGAGCGATCACTTATGAAAATAGCCAGTTACACAAAGTCCACTATGATTGGCATTATCAAATTTATTCGATTGTTTCATTTATTGCGGCTATTTCATTTCTTCGAATAGTTCATATTTAATCTTCGTTTCGACGGGGGCTCCAAAAAAATGAACCGTTAACATTTTAGCCTTAGCGATTTTGGTATGATGCAACAGCCCTTGGCAGTAAGCCCATATCAAAAGCCTACGTATATCATGCAATATACATCAGCATTGGTTATATAATATCCGAATAAAATCGATTTCAACACCGCGTCTCGAATATCAAAATTTTACACTAAAATTTACACTAACGCCTCTTTAAATCTGAGATTAAGTCTATAAGCATGATATATTCATATCAAATTACCTTTGCTAAATGTGTTTCTGGCATAATGCATAATACTGTAGTAGTCGTACGTCTCGCCAAGTGAATTGATTTCACTCGAATCCATTTTTTCAAAGTTATATTCCTGACCTGAAAAGTGTAAAAAATGAGAAATAAAAATTTATGAGTGCGATTTTAAAATATTATACAATTCACTGCTATCAGGAAAAATAGATAAAAAACACAATCTCATAGCTATTGTATATATTCTTACTTTAATATGTTTAGCATAAGAGTGCATTAGATAAAATTCTCAACACTACAATTAGGTTCAGAAAAACACTGCCTCCTAGTTGGTAGGAACATAAATGAAACAAGCTATGCTTAGCAATTACAATACACACAAAAACAAATAGCCATTTGTGCAGCTTTGCTCAAAGCATAGACGTTGTTTTTTTGTGGATTCAGTTTATCTGGGACAGAATAGAATAGTGAACACGCGACCAACAGTCACATTCTCTGAAAACTTTAATTTGTACTGGGTGAAAATACATTCCCGACTTTCTTACCAGGTTGTATATTCTTGTAAATTATTTCAATATGTCGGTCCCGATCGGGTCGGGTGTGTTCATGCCAAAATCCAATCACGTGACCAAGCTCGTGAACAACAATTCCAAATTTGTCACAGTTCTTTCCAATCGAGATTGCTTGAGGTCCGCCACCTCTTCGTCCAACATATGAACAACACCTAAATATGATAAACAGCGCTTATATATTTACCGGGTTATTTTGGCTGAATAGATAAGACGACAAAATATATTTCGAGTGATCCGAGGGCTGTTGCACCTGAACGCTAAGCAACTTAGCTGGCACAATTTGTTGAAACAGTATACCGAAGTGTTTTTAATTTTAGCGGCTTCAGCCAAGAGTTTTGATTTTAGCTACACATTACGCTATACATTTTGACTATTACTGTCTCTTTTATGCGGCGAAGGTATACTCATACTCATCTTTTTTCGCGAGTCTATATTATGATATTAAGCTACGGGTCTAATTGCACCGACTGCATCAATTGTACCGCCGACAAATTAACGTTGCAGCTAATCCCTTTGACAAAACACGTTACGCAAGTTGTGGAATTTACACTATTACATTTTTTGAATGTTTCGTTTCCAAACCTCGACCTCAAATTACGTGTTACCGGGTTGAGTGCGCTCAAGGTCAAGTGGGTTTGTTTTAACGTCAAACAGACGACGTCCGAAACGTGCCAAAGTGCGAACAGGGACCCGTTAAACCCAGGATCAGGTTTCACCCTGGTACATACCACTTTGGGGTAAAATATACATGTAAACACGAGATTTGGACCCGACTTGGGAGTGCTGTGGATACAAAAAATGTTTTGTTGATAGCCGAAACGTAGCAGACACGCGAACAATTGAGACCATGTTGTTTTAGACCAGGATTGATATTTTGATAGGCAACTACGTCTTTAAAAATAAGTACTGGTTAGTATCGCGTTAAAAAAACCTTGGGGTTAATTTGCAGTATATTGTCAAAACTATATCTGGAAAGCAATACGAACGAGTTATAAGTGGAGTTACTTTTATAATCTTTGAAATTAACTAAATTCTCGGAATAAAAATTCGGCATAAAAATACGCTTTTATATTAAATAAGCCGGGAACTTTTTATTTCAGGATATCGCCAATTATGAAAATAGCAGAAAATACGATGGTATTAGGGACCATTATTTCTTAGTAATTATTCATATGCTAATGGTATACGAAATGTTTTTTAATGATCATATATTTGTTTGGCGAGTAAATTTATATTCTGAAATTTTTAATCGATTACAAATGTTTGATTTTGCCAACTCAGAATTCGACGAAAATTAAGTCAAAAATAGGTTATTGAAGTCGTTTTAATTATTTTATTTTGTATATTTTAGGGGGAAGTTTTAAAGTTCATGTCTATACAGACTTACCCACAAGGCCTGTAGGTAAACTTAATGAAGGCTTCTTCGTCAGTTCTTTCAATGAAGGTAATGCAGGTTTGTGCTTCCCAATGTCTCATCGCCTGCTTGAACATTGCACGTTGAGAACCTGTAAATTATGGATTTTTATAATGAATTGAATCACAATTCTATGAAACTTACGATGTTGAAATACGTCATAATGGTGCTTCATACACCACATAGCGGTCTAAATCTTGATGGAAATACAGACACACGTCAAATGCGGAAAATAGAGAAATACTAGCAAAATTTTTAAGAGTGGCACTCGAAAACTGGAGAAAATAGGTTTGCTAATAAAAATCGGATAAACAATCCAATAATATATGGGTGGATTCATGTCTACCAAATAGCTACTCAAATGAGCACGGGGCTATTGTATGGTCGAGATGGGGTCGAATTATACATAAATTAATTTTCCAAAGTGACAAAAATACGGTAGAAATACCAGACAAACTCGTCTTTGACCTTTGATTGTGAATGAATGAAAGGTTGTTTCCGATATATTCAAGTCTGGTTATTGAGTAAAAATAGTCATACATCTGGTGTCAAATTTCATAATTTTGAACTTCAAAAGAATTATACGCTCATAATTCACAGCTTTGAGATAGATGAAAAACTATGATAATGTTGCTATTATGATATGCTGTCTATGTTATATTTTATAAGCAGATGTTTACAGGATGCTTAGTAACACTATAGATTATATTCGTGAATTTGGCTTCAATCACAAAACACTGGTGAATCGGGCCTTATATTGACTCCTTGGCAAGATTTGATTTAATTTCGGACTTTAAATTTGCTCATAAGCAATAGTTTGTAATATCACGTAATAATACGCGTGTTTTGCCTACAAATTTCAAATTATAAAGGAGAAAACGGAAAATTCATTTTATTTAATCCATGCAAATTTCCCTATCATTGAACATTCTATTAGCGTCTTTAAATTGTACATGCTGTAACACCATCTTTAATCTTGGCTGGCGGTTTGGGCAAACCTATTTCGTAATAAGTATTCACACCAAAACTTACTCGACGGAATATTTTATTTCATAAATTTTTGATGAGCTGCACGCGTTAAATATATGATAACAGTGCATAGACATCTCGTTCCGGCGGTTTTCTATAACTTCGATCATATGAAAAGACTGATAAATTTAATAATGGGAGTATTGCAGTAAAAGCCAAAAACGAAATAAAAGCACTTTCAAATAAGCAATAAATGCATTGTTATGAATGTGGATTTTTTGGTCGGGTGAAGATACCGATCCAGTGCGAGTTCAAATTCCAAGGTGCGAGGCAAATTCGGGCTTCTAACTCAAAAAATGAATTGAAAATAATAGGTCCTCAAAAACAAAAAACAAGCGATGACTTCTGATAATTTATACGTTCACGTTAGCGTTTCCAACGCGTTGTTTCGTACGTTTGTGGGCTGACTTCTTTTTCAGATTTATACAGATTGGGATAGTTCCTGAAAGGCCGCCTGCGTCAGAATTCCCTTTCGTTTACAAAAGAAGAAATCAATAGGTGTATTTAGATCAAACCACCAACTATCACCAAGCAAACGAATGGATTCAAAGTCTCTATTACAAAGTTGTTGTGGTCAATAAGCATAAGTGTTCCAGTCAAACCCCGCAATTTGCATCGCTAAATATAACCTTATAATCATTCACTTATAATTTTTTTTTGGCATTGTTATCTTCAGAAATTTTTGTTATTACAATGTCATAAATATACTGTGTTTTTGGAGATATTTAGCCTGATATGGCCTATACTGTTTGAAATAATAAGAGTTGAACGTACGTTAATTTTCACAGTGTTTTCCGACATAAATAATGCAATACATTTTCAAAAACTTTTGGGCCGCAAAGCTGTGTAGTAAAATGTGCAATTTTTTGAGATAAATCACCAGAAAACCGCAAAAATACTTGTGATTCAATCTATAGGAAATTACTGCAAAATTACGGACCCAATTTGTAATGCTTGAGGGTTTGCGACGATTTAACTTGGTAATACTTTCGGATTGGCACAAAGTAACTCGTTGTTTGGGAAAATCCGTCTGATTTAGAGATTTTGAGCCGTTTTTGTTGCGAATATTTATGGTTAATACAGCTTGATATATACATAGGACAAAACAAATGCTCGAGTGGATTATTATTATCGTTGTTGTCAAACCAGAAGAATTCCCACTACTCTTGACCCGTGTCTGATCTTGTGATACGACTTGGCCGCATGAAAAGATATTTTCAAATGAAATTAATAATTTATGTGATGTGTGAAATTGATAGTTTTATCAATATAAGTTTACAACATTACTACCATTAATCATTGGTAACTAAATTGTCCACAGAAGTGTTTGAGATGTTTTTTCACACAATTTTGTTATATAAAAAGTATTTACAATTAATCGAATAATTTTTAAACTGTTCAGAGAATGTTACATTGCTTGCCTTTTTGTTTACAATTTTTTGTCCATCGAATAATATTCACATTGAAGTTTACATTCCAAACAGATTAACTATTTATACTCCACACAGACTAAGATTCATTTTTGCTGGTCTGAACTTTAGTTCAATAAGTGAAAGAGAAAAGAGTTTATTTGTGAGAATTCCCAAATGTCAATGTATGGGTTTATTTTTCTGGCAAATAAATGTAGAGACATAGAAAATGGAATCAAATAAATTTTCATTCGTTCTGTATCATTTAAATAACCACGTTATAGCGGAATTGTCTCAAGATTTTGGAGCAGCGTTCTTGCAAAAACGTAGATCGGACTTTCCGAATGGATACATTAAAAGCGAAACAAAACATATACATTGTCTGAATATATCAATCGTATAACCTCGCGTAACCCGTGTAAAAGAGTAAATAAACATTATTGACAAAGAAAGGTCATACAGTAATTATCGCCATCTCTCATAATTTTATACCTTTATTTTCGAAGGATCAGGTTCCGTGAACAACGTGCGTTAATGGCTTCTTAAAATTAATATTTCATAAAACAAAAACCGATATACACGAGCTGGATATTAGTAAACCATGCATATAGGTGTGTATGTATATATTATTCAAAGTCGTTTGGGAATTCCGGTTCGGTTCACATTTAAATTTGCGACTTGTCAATAAATTGCTGAATGATGTCGCCTTCCGACAGTTTTAAATTAAAACGACAAAAACGACGTTGATCGCATTAGGGGTTGTTCATCTGTAACTCTAATAAACCAGCAATTGTGACAAGCGATGGAATATACCACAAAGAGGAAAAATTGTATTTTAACTTCAGTTAAACGTAATTACACATGAGTTCACACTGAAAACTTGATAATATATCTGTGCATATGTTATTTTAAAGAAGTCACCTAACTTTATTAAAATCAAACCATTCTCAACTATAATATGCTTTCATGCATTAAGTATTGTTCATAACCATATACGAAGTTTTGGTTTTGTTAGGAATTTGAGCAATGTAATTATGTACAGCAAAGCGATAACAGTTGTTTCGCGCATTTGGCCCCCTGTGCGCGAAAAACAATTATTTGTGGTTTTTGTTTCATGAAATCACGCTTGCACCATACCAATTAAAGCAAAGTAAGATGCTTAAAAGAATATCACAAACTAGACAATTCAACAAATTTTATTTTTTACTTTTTATCATTGAGATTTCTCGGAAAACGTTTCAATAGTCTTGCGGATATGTACTTTTATATTTTTTGAGTAAAAATTTCATGGCAAGTAATGACCAGTAATATCATGATTAAATTTGGTTGAATGAAATTTTCATAATAAAAATTATGAATTCTTATACACTAAATATTTTTTTTTTTGCAAAATAATTTTATTCGACGCCAGATAAGACAGAATTAATTTACGTCAAGCTTGAGTCATTAAAAAGCCGTACCTGTATAAATTGCACAGTTTATTGTAAATACTAAAAGCGATTGAATTTTTATAAAACCGGGAGCAAATATGATTTTATTCTTTCCATGATGGCTTTATAAATAATGCAAAATATTTTCGGTAATGCTCATCGCGCTAATTTACACATTTCCAATCCATTTTGATTTTGGTCTCCCAGATCGTAGGCACGAGCTGTGCTAACATTTACAAGGCGTGGTATACAGATAAGGGTTTTCGTTTATTTGTTTGACATTCCTAAGACTGGTATTTTTTATCACCATATATGTTCGAATAATAAATTACATACCCGTAAAATTGGCGCTGATGACGTATGGTATAACTCCCGCAGGCCAGATCCGTTCCGGACGTGCTGTAGCTGCTCTTCTCATTCGTTTATGAACTGCTTCTGTCCTCTGGATGCGACTACGATACCGTCCTCGTCTCTTGCGCCCTCTGCGACCTGTAAATTAAACATATTCAATAGAATTGCTACTAAAATTGACTATGTTAGTGAGAAGTAATATGCTACCAGAATCTGAAAAAAGTATCATTCAAAATTCACTGTTTACGATGAATGCTAGGTACTCTCGTGGTATGTGTACCAGATTCGGGTTAGAGGCCATAATTTTATTCCGATTTTCCTTATTTTAGTTCCATCACGAGTTCGGGGACTGTCTGCGATAGCCAAGTGAATACATCCTCTGCCCATAGGCTTCCGTCCCTTTACACGACTTGATGTAAAGTAGGCGAAATTAGTTACCTCCATATTGGTACACATAGTTCTGTGGCGCCGAATGCTGTTAATTTTAGACTGTGTTACCAGAACTTTTTGGGGCCGCAAACATTGTGAAGAATGTAATCAACAGAAAACAAACTATACTATAGTTTCTCTTTACCCGAGTGAACATTGCTTGCAATATACAAATATATGTACAACGACTTTAATGAATAAATGAATTTCATTGTTGTAACATTTACATACTTGCAACCATGGTTCACAGGCATGAAATGTCTGGATAATATATAATTCTAAAATATATAATCGCTTCGTATAAATACGATGGTAAATTTACTGAACATTTTTCCTAATATATATAGTTTGTTGACAAATAATTTACGAACAAATACGGGACGGATTGAAACTCGATCATGCGAGGGCTAATATAAATTATATGGATTCTAACCAATTTGAATGAATGAACAACGCTAGTCGTATGATTATTTCAAACTGACAAAATATTATCAAACACTCGAAGTATGTGTAACTTAATTATTCACACAAAATCACAACATATATTACAAAGCAGGCTATAGATCTAGTATGATAAATTGAAAAACCCATTAAATACTCGAAAGTAAGTGTCAGAATTGAGGTGAACTATGCCGGAAACATTAAAAGATTATACATTAACACCTGTACTTTTTCGTGGCACTTGAAATTTAAAACATTTCCAATCTGGAAAGAACTATCATAATTTTATGAATGTGAGTCGGGGTCATTGACCGTAGATCTTATCCATTTGAATCTTATGAGGATTGATATGATTAAACAAACCTTCAAAATACAATCGCGTCTCCGGAAAAATAACAACAATTCTATAGAATAGATGTACAATAGGAACGTCAAAATTGACTAAATTACGAATTTGCTACTTGCGGTTGCTTTGAATCGTTTTAATAACGGTGCGATTAACTGATATTTTTATTTGAGGAAGAAATGCAAAAATGTTTGGTGGGTGGATGAAAGAGCGAACTGACATATATGTTAAATTGAAAGGTTGCCTTGAACGAGTCAAATTTGCAGAGGGTTAGAATAAATTGGTTTAAATTTCCATTAGTACAATATACTTATTTTCCATTAGTTGAATATAAATGAGTACTATGAGTAAAATATTTTGATTTTACATACGTATGTAAATGATTGACAGATATGTTGATAGAAACACGTAAACATGGGGAAAAACTAGACGATACAAGTTTACGTTACATCATGGGTATGTGCTCAAAGCACAGTTTTCTACTCTACAAAAACATTTCTAATAAGTTCGAGGTCGACTGAAGGTCTTGTTGACGCGTGTTTCCATTGGCATTGACATGCTTGAACAAAAATGAATGATCTTGTGTGTACCAAATCAAAATACCACTTTCGTTAGCGTAAATTAGATTGTTGTAGCAAATGGCATGCTTGAAATAGTGGACATAAAAGCCTATGACGTAGCCATATTTACAGAGGTGAATTACAATATACGGTATGGCAATACTTTAGACCATTTAAGCAGGTGGTTTATTAGAATTGAAAATAATTAGCAACCCAATTGCAATTAAACATTTTGAATCCTAATTTCTAATCCATAGCATCCTGCTTTAATGAAACTTATCTAACTAACCGTTTTTTCGTCTCTTTCCCGAATCCAATTTAACTCCTTCGGTTTTCTTGCTGTGTTTCCTTCTTCTCACAATCTCTCTCAAAGTGGGGATTCGAGAGAGCTCGGACTCTGTCTTATTTCTCAAGGCCTGTTCATCCAAATCCACTGCGCTTGGATCGTTCTGCCTAAGTCCCTGTAAAAACAATGGATTACTGCGTTGAAAATTAATTGTGTTATTGGGACAAATGTGGACAATGATGCATGGGTGGATACTGAACTGAGACACCACCGTGATGTCATTGCAGGTCCGATTTCCCAGACCCACATAACTGAAGTGAAGCTTTGCCATAGCATTACAGTGTTTGTAATATACATATTCTGCGGGGCCAAATTTTGATAAATTACAATGTTTTCCAAGTGTTATGTTTGTGGTAATTAAAGTTTTAAAACAAATTCTCGTCATTCTGAAAAGAGGTCAAAGATCTTCAAATTTGTGTCGTAGATTCGTAGGAGTGGAATACAGTTAAAATTCAGATAATTGAAAAGAATATTTTGCGTTAAAAGATAAATGACATGTCTATTGCTGAACCCTTTATCAGACATCATTGCCTTTGGAAGTTCATGAAATAAGCACACGAAAGGTAAATAAGTATGTTCAAATGTCACTTAATCAATTGTTGAAAGAACTAACCCATATTCTAGGGTGAAAATCAATTTCGTTGTTTAGTACTATCTTTTTCTGGAGCGAAAAATGGGTATACGATGCCTAAAAGAGAGGTAAAAATGCATACAAACTAATTTCAAATTTTCCGTGTTTTTCGATAAGTCGTAGGAATTCAATTTTTAAATGCTCCATTGAATTCTCAGAAATGTGTAATACACACGCTCGTCTATCACCATCCACAAAGCACGTAATACATCTTTCGACGAAGTATATTTTTCGCACGCTACCAAGTGTATTTGATTGTCTTTTCCCCTGTCACATGATGTATCGGTAATTCCCTTTACATCATGAGACATTTTTGAGTTATGAAAGATACCCACAGAATGATTTACTATATGACGTCACTATATTATCAAATGTCGCATGAATAATGGTTCTGTCGACACCACAGATGTCTTTTGGGAATAAATGAATTTCTGTGAGGGAAAGTTAGTCACAATAAATAGACTTTTCACCGCAAATGCGTATTAGGCCAAGTGCTTGAGATTATAACGTTTATCAGGTATACGTCAATTTACCAGAGCGCAGGACATTTAAAAATGAATGAATATTGAATTTCTTTTGAGCTATATTCGTTCCACGAAAAGGATGTTTTGAGTTTTGGGTAAAGAATTGGAATTCAGCTTTTAGACTTCCAACATTGAAATAGCCATACATATATATATATATAATTGGGATGGAGTTATCTTACTACACGAAAATGATAAAATGATTTGTTTGTCATTTCAAACCATTTCAACTGTCCCATGTGACCTGTTTGATTGATCCCGCTTCCAAACCGAATGTCTATTGCATACGCTACTAATAAAATAAGTTTAAAATCTAAAATATTCTGATAAAACTAACATCATTTTTTATATACCAACTGTGAACAGTTCTATGGATAAGGTGAGATGAAAGTTTTAGCGAAGTTTTCATTTCTTGATTTGAAAACCTAGTTGGAATCATATTGGCCAGTGTTGGGCTTCTGGACCAATATTGTATTGCGATTGAACTCGTGAAATTTGTGAATTTGCATATTATATTTTGTAAATCTGTTTTATTATGGCGCAGTTAATATATAATGAGGAATATATGTAGGAACATGAAAAACATTGAAATGAGTAGAACCTTTGACGCCTCCCTCACGGAGTGTTTCTTGGACTTTTGAGAATTTATTGATTTCTTATCGTCGCCATCGTCTTCAGTGGTGTCTCTCGCTTCTATTGAATCGTCATTTCCCACGTGGTCCATAAATTCTTGCACTGTTTCACCGAAAATATCTTCAACGTCTACTTCGTCCAAAGCAATGTCACCAAGAAATAAAGCTGAAAAACAATAATTTTAAAATATGATACACAAATTTAACGTACAAATATTTTCCCTCACTCGCTTATGTCCCTTAGAATTTATACCCCATGATGCAGATGAACAGCATACGCGATTGGCTGAGACCGAAAATAAAATTCGGGTGATCTATTCGTCAATTCGTCAATTCGTCATTTGAAAAAAAAATAGAAATACTAGCTAATACGGTGTAGCTAAAAATTTAAAGGTATATCTGCTCGACAAATCCTAATGCGAAACGACGTTTTAAGCTGACTATACGTAGTCAATGAAGCTTTTATTCCTAACCATCAACTAACTATATCTATAATAGTCTTGAAGGTGTAGCTAGATGAAACCCTGGGTGCGGCGTGAAGGGCTGACATAGGAGGATTAACCAGTTTTGAACCAGAGTGCTTTAACCTTCGATTGTAGCAAACACGTCAATCATGGAGTATGATAGCATAACATGCCAATATTTGGAAATCAGTCACCCATATATATGTATGCAGTATTGATGATAAAATATCATAAGGTAAAAAGAAGTTGTTTATTAAAGAAGTCATCCTGATCTATCCCACTTTAGAATATTTTTTACCACAGCGTCGACAAAATGGTCGCGAATAATAGATAACTAGTAAAAATAACTACCGATACCAAGCAACAATAAATATTATTTTTAAAAAGTATCGTTTTATACAATATCCTTATTATGCACAACCAAACGCAGAAGATGATGCAGGACACATACAACCGGGTAATACGTTGATAAGACTTTCGTTGGATATCTCGAACAGTCGTAATAGGACCCATTTGTTTGGGCAACAGCACACCATTAAATGTCTAACTAAAAGCACTTTAACGCAACATTTTTAATTTGAGGATCTGAAGTAAAATCGACTTTGGAATTAACTTAATTATGCCAATCAAAAGAGTCAACAACCATCCTCGTTGCGTTGTGTCCCAATCAAAACATCTAGTTCGATAAAGCAGGGATGTGGTCTTAAGTTTACAAATCTGAATCCTAAATTTACTAATCGGAACATTGCTAATGGTTAAGTACACCGAGGAGATAGAGATTAATTGCATTCTGTAGCCTTTTTGACTTTAATTTTTACAAATTAGTTTAGAAACCAAATTTGCCGATTTGCAACAAAAAAGAAAATTAGTAGATTGCATAATACCAAGTATTTTCGCCGTTTCCTATTAACACCAAAACCAATCGCCTGTCTGATTTGTTATCAACAATTTATCTAAATATATTCATAAAATTGAAAAATTCGAAATTGGTATTATGGCAACACATAATTTTGAACCCAAAAATTGACATTCACAACTTATTCCAATTTAGACTGAGCACTTCCTATATCTTTTCTTTTGTGTTGTATGGGCCACTGATGTATCGAGCGAGATGAGAAGTGATATATATCTCACCATTTATTATGAAATAATTTAATTATGATATCACAATCAAAAAATGTTTGCCAACTCATACATGTGGGAAAACGCGCTTTCGGTGACGCTCAGCATTAGAGTATTTGCAAGACTATTTTCCAGTATTGATAAGTTTGTATTCTGAATGTCGTTGTGATTTAACTTAACAAAGTTATGTGATACATGTAAACTAAGACACAGTTTCACTGTAACTGGTTGAGGATGGTAAAGGTGTCGGGTATAAATAACTTATCTAAGGAATTTGAGCTTGAATCCGATATAATCCAAGCATGTTCTTTGCAGTCACCCAGAAAAGCCATTTCTCGTGGTTCATTCCAGAGAATCATAGAAACGCACTGTTTCTATTTAAAACTTCAATATCAACCTCGTTATTTTTGATTCGAAAACAACGTTTTTGATACATTTATCGCCTGCTTGACGTTAAATGCCCGTGTCGGTGGTCGAGGTTCGGTGAAAGACGAAATTGAAATGTATAACAGCAAACATAGATCGTTTCATCGCCGAAAGAGACGTTTTGACACGCCGGTGACAAGTTGTAAACACAGTTTAAATATTAAAGTGATATTTAACGGGTAATTTATTTCTCACGCTGAATCCAGCAGCGGAGTTTAATTTATACAAATACGATAAATTATGTGGGTATTTTACATAACTGTTTTATTTTATTCGTTATTTTCGTTATACAATTACTATGAAAAGGATGGCGGTTACACTACTCTTTTTTAGGGTTGTCAATTCGTTTCTTTTCTTGTGAAAACTTTTATTTGCGGAATGTTCGGTAGCAAACTAATAAATGTTATTAGAGTTTGATTAAGATCTTTAATCGGGGCATCAAAACAAAGACAGGTGATTAATTAGAAAATCACGAGGCCGTACGTCATTCGTTGTCAACAAAATATCAACCAATACAAACTTTTTCTAAACTGAACTCTTGTATGATTCGCCGAACGACATGATCGAGCCAATGTTTGTACTCCAACATTTGTAAATTTATTAGTGGTTTTGCAACAAAAGTCATATGCAATCAAGAATGCGTGGAGATTAACTTTAATATAGTGTACTTTCGTGAAGATGTGTCTCGGTAACTGAGCCTATATGTGACTCGCGAGCATACACGTTATAATTACAGTCGTCTTTATTAAGTTTCTTTTAATACATAATTCTTTTTTCTGTCGTACCATTGCCTATAGGCTAGGTTATATGGTATTGATACTATATGCATCTATCTTAACTCATCCCTAACTTATCTACAAAGACTTTTTAGAAACAAGTCAGAAACTTGACTCGTGATAAAGCTCTGTGTAAGCAGGAACATTGAATTTGAGTTGATTAATATTCGTCCAATATATAATAACCAACGAATAGATACGAAGGTGTTTTTCGATAGGCTAGGCAATTTTCGAATGCGAAGCTCTGAACATAATGGGTTTAAATTACTTTTATGAGTGTGTGTTTTACCGCTTCCGCTTTACAGATAAACTGGAAGGTGACTTAGTTTAGCAAGATGATATGGAAATCGTTGTCACGACACATTTTCTTTCAATCAATGTTGATAGATACTCGACAAGTTCACACGCAGCGAAGTGTGCTTCATTCCCAAAATAATCATTACCGATCACAAGACAATCAATTCGGAAGTTGTGTTAAGTGTATCTGGTATATGACAAAGGATCCTGGAGTAGGTATTGTATTGTCATTGGTTAGTCTTAAGTCCAACAAACTACCGAATTTAAAATAACAGACCAATTCATATTAGAAGAGATATTTGCTACGTTGTAAAGATGTTATTTGGGTTTGAATCGGGTAGGGAAACGTTTTGGAAATCTTTTATTATCAATTTTGTATAACAGACAGTCGCAAGTAGTTGAAGACAAATCATTCACCTTCAACGTAGAATAAAAAATTAAAGCTTCGACCTATTTCGGGTAAATAGTTCATAGGTATAGGTTGAATAAAGAAATTTCAATTGATATAAATAAAAATTTCATAAAATGATCATCATTTCATCATTAACTTATACTCCTATAAATTATGATGCTGCAAATTCAAGAATTCCAACTTTATATCAATCAATACATTTTGATACTCATGTTTGGCATTCAGAGTGTTTTACATAGTTTGGATTGACAAATAATTCAAGTCTTGTTTTTTTTTTTATCTATGGGGCATTTTGAGTAAATGTATGTTATGGTAAATTTTGTAACCCCGATCCCAATCCCTTTCATAAAACATGTGAGTGCAAACGACATTTCTCTCGACCTATTGCGTAGCGTTTGTATTTGTTGACATTTAAATTAACGCCTGCTGTATTAATATAAAATAAACAACTCTGGTCAGTCTGTCTACTTGCGTAAAAACGCTTTGGGTTTACGGGTCATTGAAAAAGCTTATTTATATTACATATTGGATATTTCAAGTTGAAGGATGAGCCGAATAAAAGTTTGCACTTCGAAAGCAGGGGAATCGTGAATCATCGGTATGCAATTCGTCATTAGATAACACCCTCTTCAAGCTGAGAGGTATTTGATTGTTTTGGTATTTGTTTTTATCGCTTCCTTTCAACAATTCATATTTTGCTGTCTCGATTTTTCTGTTTTGATTAGTAAGACTATTTTCACACTCATTTTCTCTTTATCGAACGAGAAATGAATTACAAACCTATTTTTAAAGTTCAGTGTTATATCTGGTAGAACATCAAAAAACCAACGCAATGTTGATCACTCTTGCAGCAAAATTTAGACAGTGGTCTCCATAAGCTCCGGATGCCGGATCTCAATTACAACAGTTTTAGCCTTGTATTTCCATAGATTACGGAAATCCGTCAGCAAGAAACTCGTGTTGATATTTATGCCATAAAAAAGCAAGATTTCTTTTGACTATCAGTGGATATCTTCTATTTCATATATTGCATCAAATTTATATTGAAAACTTCAATTAACAAACGATTTTCTATTCAACAATACCACAGCTTTTTTACTCTTATTCTTGTAAATCAATAAAGGTACGTTTTAATTTATTTTTTAATGATAGTTTACCGCAAAATGGTAATTTGAGTCGATTTAGGGGAACACAAGCAGATTTGGCTCCAAACATCTCACCGATAACACCAATTTCAAGTGGAAAACTCCTGGTACAGTTGTATTTACGTCAGAGCCGGTATTGACTGAAGGGAAATAAATGTTTTGACAAAATGATGTTAATTGTGATCCATGTATTTGTTTAAACACGTGATCATTTGCTTGGCGTCGAAACAGATACATGAATGAACAAATGAAATTTGTACAGCAGCAGCTAAATGATTCCAATGTTGTCACGCTAAATTGGCAAATATCCTCCGCGATTAATTAAGTTCGAGTATGGACCGTCGATAGCGATTTTACAATGACTTGGTTGGATAGTATATTTTCGGTTGTGAAGAGATAAATTAGATGTTTCATCGTTTATTTACTGGGATTGCATCAACTAAGCTCGTTTGTTGACGTTGTGAGTTAAAGAGATATCGCTGGTTCGAGATCTGGTTATTCTACACAGATAAATATAAATTAATGAGGCTTTTCAGAAGCGTATTTGTCATTACAGAGATGCAGAGTCTAACTACAGTGGATAAACAAAATAAATATTAAAATAATCCATTTAAAGTAATATGTGGAAAAAATCCCCCCACCTTTTCGAAAATCGGCATTTTGTCTAACACCGTTGGGTACATTTTTGATCCAGAGTTTGATTCCCTGATTTGGAACTATAATACTTATATCAATTGAACTTATTTTCATTCAATAAAATTGAGAGTACGTACAATTAACCTTGTTACTATAATTAGTCCTCAAACATTATTATTAAAAAGCGTTCATAGAAAATATTGGAATATCATGGTAGTTGAAAACTCTTCGAGGCAGTTATAACATAAGTCGATTTTATTAGCAATTCCGACTGAGTGCATATTTGAGCATTGCTTTCAAAAAATGTCGACTTACGTAATTTTATCAATTAATTTACCGGTATATTAAAGTTAATTTTACTGAAGTTTAAGGAAGTTTCTCATTGGAATTATTCAGGCGTGAAATTATGGGTTATTTGTCATTGACGCGACTGAAATTTAAAGTAAGGTCGTCATAAGAGGGAAAGTTGACGAAAATATTACGATTGCCGTCGGTGAACTTGAAACGACAAAGTTGGGCTTAGAAACTACAAAAACGACTTGATGTGGCAAAATAGCTACTGGATAATTACCGATTACGTCGGCAACATTTCATTTGATTTATTCCGATGGAAATGAAAATAGCATAATGACAAAAGAGGCGCCAATTTTCTGGTCATTTCAAGTGCACCTTAATCAGCTTATCATCACAATTCTCTCTTTAAACTTTAAGAGAGAGGTGACCGTAAGTCTTCCCAGGACAATTATATCATACCCTTGAGGAGCGTATTTCACACGGTAGCATCCCAACAACAACGAAAGTAACAAATCAAAAAATCTAGTGCACAATCCCCAATAACATATAAATCAAACTAAGAGACAAAATGTACTTCTGATTAGCCAGTGAAGGGCACTTCAGAGCCACAGTGGGCGAGCGGTTATGAAATTAACTATAGATAGATGTGTAATATTACCACGCAATTCTCATATACGCTAAAACAATATAACACTTACGTGCTTTGCATGGGTCTTTTAGTATTTTATCTTCGCTTTCTTCTGGTTGATCCACCCATATAGTCGTCTGTTCTTGGCTATTAACTGATTCGATTTGAAAATTTATTACGCTAATACCAGCTACAACCGACCATGTAACTCCGGGCGCTAAGCCCTGAACTCCGGTGGGTTGTAATAACAACAGCGGCAAGATATAGATTGCCATCGCCGCAAAAAGAGTTAATCGACGCCGGTATGTTTTCGTACTTCTCATGTTCAGACATCCACTACACAATGTCCTTTGCTCATCCATTAGTGGTATTTCTTTGTGCAATAAGACGTTTGATAATGATTCCTTCGTTTTCAAAAATTTCATATTAGTCCTTTGTCTTTCCATGCAACCTCCGCTCGCCATTTTCACTGATCGAAAATATCCCCTTTTACAGCAAACGCTGGGATCTATATCTGCGCAAAAAAATGCCTTCTCCGTTCTAAACTTCGCACGACAAAAGTCTGCCATCTTCTTATCTGAGACGGGACAGATAACGGGGTCTTTTGCAATAGAAGAGCAACTATTGTCTGTTTATCTCACTTCCAAGCTACGCCGCCTACTAAATTACTAGACCTATCGCTCAGCGGGAACGTAAACAAACAAAGATATTTTACGCCTCCGCCTCGTGTCCAATGGTCTGTAATGAAAGGGGAAAAATACAAACATGGAAATTAGCGTTGTCGTATGCTATATCCTTTATCAGTGTTTATTTTTCTTTCTAAGAACTAATGCAAATATCACGCAACAGGTGGAATGAAAATTCTAGCGCCAATCAGTTGATTTAATGGTAGAATTACAAATTCGACTCACATTCTGTAGCATGATAAAATGTTTCAAACCGATAGAAAAGAAACAGTAGTGTGCCAGACTGCCTGATCACAAAAATGAAATGCGCTTTTATACTGTCGTCGAAAGTCAACAATTTTAGGTTATACATAATTTAAGAAACGAAATCCGCCGCTCGTGAAGCGGTTAAAACACTGTCGTCGGATACTTGACGGAGTCAAAATACGGTAATTTGTATTCATGTCGGCGAGTCGTGACAACTAAACAAAACCAAACCACGGATTCCCAAATTACGAAACAAGTGCATAAAAATATTTTTGAGAACGATGGTGCATTGTCTTGACCACGTTGCCATTTCAGGTTTCCAACTTTTGGTCAGAAGTCTGATTAGTCATTTCACCGAAATACAAACCTAGTCCAAGGTGTGATAAACTGCCAAACAGACGATTTGACATGTTTTCAAGACGCGCTAAATCGAAGTTTCTAAATAATTATGAATTCAAGAAAATTAAACTTAATTCGACTTTTGTAGGATTCTTTGTTTGATAAACTCTTTAAATCGTTATATGGGGTAAACTAGTACATTTTTACGAAAATTGTTGTAAAATTGTTTGAACTCTTGAGAAGATTAATAAAACATTCCTCGGTAGCCAGAGAATAAAGTTGGGGAGATTATATCTTCAATACACACATTTAACTATTGGTAAGTCATATTTTAACTTGCGGTGTCGGTGAATATCTCACGAATAAGTTTACCTGCATATTTTAGATCAGCTTACTCTAACTTTCCCAATTAATTTAAACCTGGTAAATTATAGTACTTTTTAAAATATTTCCACTTTTCGGACCGCTCGCTACCTCAGATATTATCAACTGAACTCTTAATATCTGGCAAGTACTTTTGATTCAGAAAACCACCTGCTTCTATTTATTTTTAAGTAAATGTCAAGCTGAGGAGCACAGGAGAGAATTTCACATTCAAGCACGACGTGAGTCAGCCAACTCGGCAGCCAAGCCACAACTACCCACGTCGTTGGTTATCCGTCAATCAATATGACGTAATCTTCAACAAACTTGTAAAGTTTTCAAACCCAATAATTTATTCATGAAAACCAATTCCCCACAGCAGTGGTATCAATGTCTACGAAACATAATCTGGTTTAGTTTACATTTTATGGACAACTAACTCTACATGGATTATCTTATTAAAATGAAGATTTGTACAAGTATAGATAGATTTCCCTAAAGACCACAATGAGGTGTCTTACAGCATTATTTAAAAATTTATCTCTAAATGAAGATGTCGTATAGCTAGCTTTACTGATGGACATGTAGCACTCTTATCGATTGAAATGAGTCCCATACATTGGCATATGGGACATGACATAGCAGTATTAATATCTATAAACGGCAACATTACCCATGTGCGCAGATCAAACTAACAAATGTGACAAAAGGCAACATCAAGGCGCAATCGATATTTGTCTAGCATTGGCAAAGCATTATAATACTGATGCGAAGTATGTCTATAACTCATAAACAGATAAATCTTAGAAGGTCATCTGGTTGTCGGCGCCACATATTTTTGAATATTCTGCGAAGGACCATTTCTGTCTCCGAGTTATATGTCAGATTTTTTGTTCGTTTACAACACTGACATAATTTGACGTGTTTTTGTACTGTCGATTATAAATAATGACTATTATTATGATAACAACAAAGCGACTCGGAATTACATTATGATATCTGATCACTTGAATATTCAAATGTCTATCACACTAAAATGATTTCATTTCAGTTAAATACTTGTGTTGCTGTCCTTTAAATCGAGTCCACTGTCTAGTGTCCATATGGCAGGCCAATAGCCTTTTACGGCGAAGGCCATTCGAATGAAGATTGGGATCTTGTGTCCATTCCTTTTCCTAACTATTTGGTCTGGAAATGGGCACTTGTCGATGTTGTTCCTGGCAGAATGCCACTAATACTTCCACCCCACACAACGTTACATACGTACCTAAAACCAGGCCCTTCTTTCATTCGAATTTCTGGCTCTAAGCCAAAAAATAATACCTATTGTGTAAAGGGTGGCGTCATCAAAGCATTCGCGTGTTTGACACGCGCTTTGAAGTATATGTTGTAACCCTTCGAGGTACGGCTTTCATGCTTTGCTGGAATTTCAAAGATTCCCTGCTGGGTCCATTTTCCTGATTATTTTTGTTTAAAGGACATATTATCTTCTTTCAAATATGAACGATAGATAATTTTAGTCTTGTATATATGTTTATATGGTTTTTAGTAGAATGTAGAGCATATTTCTTTATCAAATGATTTATTTATAAGAAAAATACGAAGTTTAGTATCTGTATTATTGTTATATAATAAAGTAATGTGGTCTATTTTGAGGGATTCAAAATATAAAAATCGGTATGTGATAAGAATGTGGTAAAAAAATTGCGGTTTTTGAATTCAATTTATGAAAATATGAAATCATCGCACATACATTTTTATTCCAGCTGTCACGTGATTGGGCCATTTAGGCATTTTAATTAATTTCAGCCATTTAATATTAGTAGCATTTCCGTTCTGCAAATATATTAAAATTTTAAAAGCGCGATACGGACTTTGAATACGATTTAAACATATAACTCCGATTATGAAGTTAGGCCAAGATAATATTATCACGATGACTTAAGAGAATGAACAATAGTTAATGGTTGATTTCAGTATCACACTTTGATTACTGGTCGTCAAAAAAAGTTCAGTAAAAACTAAATCAAACTGTATTGAGAAAAATGCTACCGAGGTCTCAATACAGTGTGCAGTTTCTTTGGGAGCTGGTCCAGTTAGATAAGGTGTAGAATTTCCGTTTACATTGACACCTATAAATTTTATTAGCTGGTCAATTTATTTCTTTATTTAGGTTATTATCATTTGTCTTTATTTTTGTGAATACCGTTTATGGCCCTCATGCGTGGGGGTGGCCATGGTAAGCCAGAAAAACTGGCGATGGTAAGACGGAAAGTTGCTCAATGGTATTTAATGAAACAATTGACCTTCTAAATAAGGATACATAAGCTCATCTGTGAGCGGATATACAGTCCAGTTTTGTTTTCTATTTCAATTCAATATTTCTATTTACGTCACACTTTATTAATCGTACAAAAAATATTTTATATCAGCATTTTAGCAACTTCCTGCAGTTGTCCGATAACATACCGGAAATCTCCCACTCGAAGTGACGAATTTCGAAACCGACGGCACTCGCCGTAGACGCCTCTAACACAATTACTGACGAATCGTTTCTTTCGAGAAAGAATTATTCGCATGAGTTTCGAATGCTTGGAAACATGTACGTCATTCTTTTTTGTCGTGCGTCGAAGCATTACAAAATTGAGTAACAAACAGTTTTCCGATTTGTCGATCTGTATACAATACGTTGATGGAATAGAATATTCCCACCCTGACCGAATGACACCTGCGCTATTTTGAGAAATCTTCAAATAGGCGTCTTCGTATCAGGAAACGCTTGATATCATTCGAACATATGGTGGAGCCAAATTAGATGTGGGTGAAATTAGATCTAGTACAAAACACGTAGAAACAAAGTGGGCATTGACATGTCTTAAAATAGAACATATAAGTTTAATATTTGATCAAGTATATGCACTGTGAATACCATTACATACCCTTTCCATGCTAGTTGAGAGCACTCAATTGTGAGTGAGTCATTTGTCTTCCTGATTAAACTATTATATGTAACACAGGAGATTCGAATTTCTAAAAACTGACGTCCAAATGAAATGAGGCATTGTATTATAATCATGAAAAATCCCGGGGTTCCCGAAGACCCCAAACCGCAAGAGGGAATCAATTTACGGGCGTCATGACTCTGGATTGTCATTGTTTGCCAAAAATAAGCAATGTCTGGCACATTCGTAGTGAAAGTCTGGTTATACCACAACAATCTTAATTACAAAGTATGGGTCATTTTACAACACTGACGATGCCTGTTGAAAATGATTATCTTTATTAACGAAACATTTTGTTTCAGAAAATTAGTCGTACATAGGAAAATTTCGGTACTCCTGAAGTATGCGCACCAAGATGTCGCACAACCCGAACCTTAACCTGGCACATAACCTGAGTTCAGATTGTGCGCCATCTTGGTGCGCATACTTCAGGAGATCCAGAATTTCTTTATGTCATCAACTGAAAAATAAAATTTGTTTTATTATACAAAAGGCGATTTAATATCCGAAAAATAACGAATGAAAGAAAATACACAAAAAAAAAAAACAGTTATACAGTACATATACTCCATTTGTTTCAAATGTAGAATATTTGTTGGCTATTGGGAATAAACTCGAAACATGTATGTTTTATCAAGAAAACCATGAACACATTATGCATGAAACTAGTGAACATGAAACCCCACAATTGATTTACCTCACGAGAATTCCGAACCTTATCGATAATATTCGAAATGTAATAACATGGAAACACAATTTGAAAAAAGAACAACTCACAAATGCTATAAACTGTGATCATGATTTGAATTGTCATCACGGTTGTAATGATAACGGCAGAAATCAATCCAATCGATTAAAACAACTGTTTCGATATCCGATCATTGATGCGGTGCGACAGACAAGTTTATTAGGCTTTTTGTATTATTGGAAATTTTGACGAATTTTGGAATAAATTATAAAAAGAATAAATTACTATAACTCGAAAATATTCAAATTGGATTTCAATAATCCTGTCGGCTGTGGTTGACCATTTGCCAATTTAACAAAACAAGGGTTAGTCCAAAGATGAGCAAAGTTTATTTGTGCAATGGCATTGAGAAAAGTATTTTTTTTTAATTTTCCTCAAAAGACGATATCTTATAGTTACCTTTAGTTAATATGCAAAACATTCTAAGTTAAAGACTTTTAAAGAAATATATCAGGTGGCGAAGTAAAAACATCAACCGGCATATATTTATTTGACCAAGAAAAGTAACACCAGTTAGCGTTCTTGAGAAGAAGAATGTCAATGGTGTTGTTGTACCAGAGATGAAAAAAATATCAAAATTATTTTATAGTTTCGACAACTCATACTTTAGATATTTTAATAAGTTTAGAATAAATCTAAATTTTGTATGTAGTTGGGAGTAAATTTCACAACGTTTTCTAAGAGCAAGTGACCGCACAAAATGTTTTGGCGAGCAGAATGGGACCCGTGCGCCATAGTTTGCCCATCTCTGGTCTAATCTGGCCAGTATTGTTTTTGACAAATTGTTTTCTTACTTTTACATGCGCATTCGGATATAACAATGCGACCTTGAAGTTTTGTTTTTACCGAGGGCGACTTAGGCTTTTAATCTAGTATTAAAGAGATGCACAAAGTAAAATTTATGGTTTATTGCCTTTTTTGGCCAATCGCATACAAACAAATACAGCACACATAAGAAACTTTGACGAACTTTCTTATGCCATATGGCGCGTGTTAATTACCCATATCTGATATTCTAAAATTGATCGAAACGAGATGGATTCCCAGCTTTTCTTTTTTTTGTTTTATGAAGAACTTATGTTCGGTTTACTTGAAATTTACTATTTTTCCAATTGGTAAAGTATTGCTCCACTGAAATACCGTGTCATGCCTGCCCAACGCCACTGAACATGTCTTTAAAATAAATGAAAGTTGAAAACATTGTTTTATCAAAAATTTGCTCACCTAAAAGCGTATACCGGTATCAGCAATAAAATATTGACAGTATGAGCACTGTATGCTCACCCATCTTAAACAATGATATCAGCAATTCCTAAAATGCGACGAGGAAAATGAGCTGATCAGAAGAACACGACAAGAAGTTTTCCATGTTGCTTTATGATATATTTTACACTTGAGTTAAATACAATATAAGATATATTAATATACTGCATTCGCAATGTTACTGTTTTATTGTCTTTCATCGTTTTTGATGCTGGTTTCTTCTGAGCCACCTTCGTCGTCTCCTTCTTCTATAATCGACAAGTCGTCATCCTGGTCTAAATTCAAATTTTAACATTTTTGATAGTTGTAAACCAACAGTTAAAGCCATTTTCACTATAATATATTACATTATGTAAAATATTCTATAATTTTATCCTAAATAAGAACCCTGTATTATCAGTCGCGTATCAGCGGAACTAGAACCAACTTCGTTTAATACAAAGAAATGAAACTATAATAGGAATGTATGATATATACCTTCTGCATTCGACATTGCAGATCTTGAGCCCCAGCCCAAACGACTCGTAACGGATTCTGTTATCGGTTGAACTCTGCCCCAGTCAAACACGTGATAAAAGATTATAGCACAAATACAACCGAGTCCAAGAAATGCTAGAATGACGTAGATTGCCTGGAAATGTGGGGCAAATATTATTAATTGAAGAGATACACAGTAAACTCCCGCGCCGCGCATTTTTCGAGATTATACTTTTTATGCCAAGACTTATTTTTAAGTCTCTTACGCCTTTTTCGTTATATGTTGCCACCTACGAACATAAACAATAGGATTGCAAATAAAACCTGACAATTATATCCGTTTGAAATCCAGTACATTTTGCATTTAATATAATTCAAGATTGCGGAACAAGTCGCCCATTTTGTGGCAATATCAAAGACTATGTGTTACTTTTACAAAATGGAATATTGATGTTTAAACATTTTCAGAAGTCGATACGAGATCATTTAAACGAGCTGTATAGTGTATTTGTTATATATATATAATATTTCAATTCAAAATATGTTACGCGTAGGTATTCATTAACAAAACAAATTAATTACCTCTAAATAATATCTTGCATATTCTGTAGAAACGTGAACGTGCGATCTTATTTCTTCATCGGGGAATGTTCCATTTCTTATGGGTTTTATTGGTACTGGAGTATCGCCTGGAGAAGTAAAAAACAATAAGTACAGAAAACTAAACAATTTTCAAACCTAAGGCAAGTTTTAAATGTATTTATTTATCAGATTCAATCGATTACAAGTACAATGTTGAATTGGAAGAGATTCTTGGTAATCTCAATTGAACATTCTCGAGATAATATTCTCCGAAAGTGGTGATTTCAAACGAAGAAAAGAAATTATGCTCGTCGGTGCCTGTTGCAAACTGGATGGTTGGAGGTTTAGATTTGCGACGGGAATAAATTTCTTCAAGCTCTCGCGAGCAATCTCACTTTCTAAAACTTACTTGAATTCCACGACACAAATTCAATCTTGAAGCCTTTAAATGCTTGGGAATGATCAGAACGAAAACCGACCGTAACGTTATTTCCTTTAGAAATCCAACCATCGGGTCCGGTTGATCCACAGTAATCTAAAGTTTTGTTGCCTTCCTAGCAGTAAAAAATTATAGCAGTGTGTCAAATGGCCGATTTAACGATGTGGTGCCCAACCGAGGATTCATGGACCCCGCGGGGATCCACAAAAGAACATTATCAACCGAATGTAATTCTATATTTTTATTTAGCATGCAATCATATGCAAGCATTCATTCATCATGCAAGGCCAGCTCATCGCAAAACTATTCATAGAAGGTTAATTCATTCGCTAACTATTGTCGCAAAAGTTGAGAAACTGTATTCCATAACACTGGCCAAAGCTAATACCTCTAAGCAATGTTTGATCAGATCAGATTTCCAATATACTGTACTTTGATATGGTTTTTCAATTCCAAATTCAAGTTAGAGACCACTTTCGATTTTTATTTCCTATTCAAAATATCAACCAACAGTCGCACTTTTATTTTAATATTTTTCCGGGTCCACAGAACACGAACCAATGATCCATTCATAAATCATGCTTGAAAAATAGGAACAGATTGTTTTTACATTTCAAATCATTTTCCCCATTTGGCAATTGTTTGCCGATATCTCCTTTTACTAAAACCGTTTTAATTATATTAAAAACCAAATAAATACATCAATATAGATTTATTGACTAGAATTTGGCTTTCAGCATTCTTGGATTTTGTCGCTTATCTCACTTGGTAAAGGAAGAAATTTTGCCCGTCTCATGTCAAATGTGACTGACTAAAATAGTCGTTCAACAATTAAACCAGTTCTTTGCGACTAAGCGCCTGTACCAGAAAATTTCAAGACGATTTATTCCCCTCTTACTAAATGCGGCCAATGTGAGGAAGTGAGGAACCGACATAGTGAGAACGGCTTTATCTTTTAAGTAGGACATAGGCTTTCATTATCCCATTAGCTAAGACCCCAACTCATAACAATCAGTCTATATAGACTTGACTATACAGAAAAAGCTGACCAATCTACCCGCACATTCATTATATCAAATATGTTTTGACCGACAAATATACTTCAATATACTTTATTTAAAATATTCCTCCCGAGGTATTCCCGCTATTTAAATCACAGACAAAAATCAAAATAAATTCAATTGTTATTTTCTCCTTAAGTGATTGAATTTTGTTTTTCACCAATAAGTCAATAATAACAAAATAAACATGAATTGGACGAATTCAAGTGAGATTAATTATAGCTGTCCAAGCATGTACAAGCAAAAAATCAAAACGTTCTGCGACAGAAGTGAATCTATAAAAATGGTTAGAGTGGCACAATGCCAGGCAAAGTTTATTGGCGGCGAGTACAATTAAGATTGTGTTGTTTATTTCTGCTCATGTGTTATGACATTTTTACAATCTGAATGACGTTACTCTTTGAACGACTTGATATCACAATCATGACCTAGATAAACGATATGTTTCGATAGAAACACGAGGTTTTAGGATATGAAAAAGGATGCAACTTGGGCGCAATACGTAAAACCGAACTCGAACCCGTAGATTCGAAGCAGTTACGACAAGACGTTAAATATTTCTGTTCCACAAAATCGTAAAAATCCTTACCGTTATAAAGAATACATCGTGATGACAAGTCGTCGTTAAAATTGAGCTTGGTTCCACATAAAAATCTCGAACCCAAAATACAATTTTCAATCCTTTTGGAATGGTTATAAACCATTTGCATTGTCGAAGGTGGTCGTATGGCCCAGGATATCTCGGTGATCTGATTATACCTGACTCCGCCGTTATATTAAATTCACAATTGGCTGTGAATAGAAAATACAAATTTATTTGAATCAGTTCCAGCAACAAATAGAGCATCTACTAGACTAGAGCGATGTTTCCCAACCTTTTGCGGTCACGAATCATTTTTGAAGCAAAAAAAAACATCGCGAACTCGGAAACTAAGATAATATGAACCAAAGAAATTGCTTTACACTGTAAAATTATTATTGCTTTTCGCTATAAAAAAGTTTGTTGTAGTCAATATGTCAGCGGATTAATCAGTGCCATTTGTGGGCTAATTCGAGTCCGCTGCCTCGAGATTAGGAAGCGCTGAGTTGGACCGAACTATGTTGGAATCACAGGTCACAGTTCGCCGATACAAAGCATATATCCACCATCTCACATGGGTGTAATATTTTGGATAGACAATGCTGATCCGGAAAGACAACGGGCTTTCCAAATATAGCAGCTTTTTGATTATCGGCAATTGCTTGTACGGATACTTGTGTAAAGCACCTGAAATAGCATAAGGGGTAATACTGTTCGACTAGTAACAGCACAGTTATGTAAGTTCTTGATTTGCCATAGTGTATATAGGGTTCTGTTTTTTATCAAGTCTAAAAAATCATCGTGTTTTAAAACAAGAGCTTGTTTTAAATCAAATTTTTCCTGTATTTTTTATTAAATACCCCTTGCATCGCCGCGAAACTACGCCAAAACGTTGCATTCGGGCAGCTGTACACGCAGCCGGAATTATAATTTTTAAAATGTAAGTAAAAATTCTTATTTTGACTTTTACTTCCATTGCGTACATTTATCGCGACTTTCATATCTCCACAAAAGTCATAAGATTTTAACCGGAATGTTTATCCGAGATATCAATGAGACGCTTTGAGTAAGAAAAATCATGAAAATTAGCTCACAAGCCTACTATAAAATCACTTAGAGGAATGGCAGCCTTCGGCAAAACGAGTGGGTTGCGATAATGATGAATATGCTTACATCGACGGGGGATGAGACACGCTAGCGTGGCCTATGTTAATTGTAAGAGTCCTCTGATGCACAGCCGCCTCCATTTATCTGTTATGACGCCATGATGTGGATTTCAAGTTCATGTATTGACATTTCCTCATAAAATGAAGGCAATATTACGGTTAATACTGTTCGGTTGCTTTATGCTTAGCAAGCTTTGTTTTAAGGTTAGTGATAGAGTTTTTCAAGATTATACACTCAATTCATTTATTCGATCGCATTTCAATTTTCGCAAGGTGGTTCTATCGCAGGGTGGTTTACGTAATGGCGTTACGTTATCGGTTGCGTCTTACTGCGCCAACCACTGATCTACAACCTGAGTAGGTGTGCTTGAGCCTCTATCGTTATTTGTGGCGTTTTGAAGAATTTATTGCAAATAAGAAGCGCTTGGCAAGTTTTTACATCCATTTTTCTTCAACCTATTTAATACAAAAAAATCAAATAGTACAGCCATTTTGAACAAATCAGGCAAAAAAAAAACTTGATTTAAAACAATTTTTTCTTTCTGTTTGACATTGTTTCTTTAAAACAACGTTTTTTTTTTGAACAAATCCCTACCATAGTGGACTTAAAGATTCAAATGTTTTCAATTTCTATTTGTAAATGTAAGGGAATGAAAATATCTTCGCGCATAGCAAAATGTTAATAAGGTTAAGTTAAAGACCACTCTGTGTCAGTCGGAACATGCGAACATCTACGTAGCACCAGTGGTGAAACCATACCAAAGCTTTTAACTTACAACTCGCCTATCAGTAATTTATTTGTCTTGTATGAGATCCTGTGAGTTGTCACGTTATGAAAATACACAAAATTAACCAGATTGAGTATTTAGCAACATGAGCTAATTCGATCACGTGACCAACTAGAAAATTGAAAAAAATATCTTTCCAACGATAATGACTACGTGTTAGTTTATCTTTGTGACACCACTGAACAATAGAAACGAAACAATTCTGTTAACTTGTTATGCAAGTATGATTATCATTCATGCATAAATTGTGTTAATCTTTGAAAACATTGCTAATGGGGGCTTGGTGATTTTGACTCAAACAGGAATGTATAAAAATCACTTCATCTGATGGACGCGGTTTTAAAACGAAACAGAATTCTGAGAAACCTTTTACTAGTCTAGAAAATGTTTATACCGGAAAAGCAAAATGACGTTGGTGAATAATTAAACTAGATAGAAAGTTATACAAAATGAATTTTCATTCATTTCCCCTAGTTTATATAGTCAACGAAAAATACACTTCGACAAGCAATGAATGGCCGCTAACGCCAAAGAGTTACCAGTGAAGAAACTTAGTTACTTGCTAAGGGACTGCATAATGGCAATTATCCATTCTAATTGTACTAATAATACGTATTTCATACATGCTCTAACAAATGAATGCAAATTGAATAGCGTTTTGTCCTCTGTTTTCAATTTTTGAAAAGTTTCTTCCCACAACAATAGATTGTTTTTCGAGAGTAAGCATTACATTTTTTCTCTACTTGCAAAATAGATGATAAAAATCTTTTAATTTTCATTGAAGAGCCGGTATGTTTGGATTGGAAACGTCTAAATTAATGGGTTCTCAATTATAGAGTAAACCACCACGGTACGGAGCGGATAGAGAAAATAACTCGATTTTCGGTTCATTTTCAGCAAACTTAATTCAACGGTTTTTACGTAACGCTAACTTGTGCTATAGGCCCACGTTGCTATTGCACATTTGTAAGTAGTAAATGACTTAAATTTTCTTTTCGTTAATATATATATATATATATATATATTGTAATAAGTCTTGCATTTTCACCAAATGCCTATAACCAGTTATAAGGTACGTGTCGGCTTGCTCCTTCAATGTTGAGAAGAAAGAAAATGGAAATAGATTGCTTACAGACACATGTTGGTCTTTTCCCCACCCATCTTCCCATCGTTCCACATAATCTTGTAGTAGGGATTCCTTTATATCCAAGGACACATTCATACCTAACGACATCGCCAAATCTGAAGTTGGAGCCTGTTCTGCAGAAAATAGTCGTGAATAGAAATAACGGGTACTATCCTGTCATTACACAACCATTAATTATCTTTCTGTTTATTGTGGATTAAGGGAGAATAAGTTGTTTGCAACAAAAGTATTGAACAGCATAAGATAAACAGCGGAAGATAGCCTAATATAAACTGAATCGAAGAAAATTAGTGGTAGACAATGACAGGACAGTATTTAATAATAGAGAAAAAATGTAACTACAAAAAACTACAAAACTACAAAAAAATGTAATTTGAATGTAACTTTTATAACAGTATTAATCGCGTTCAGGTAAAAAGACAGCATCTCTAAATGATCGCAGATCGCACCCTGTCTAGGCTAAGAGAATATTTTAATCACTTGTGAAATATCACATGATTCAATGGATGGTAACGTTCTTTTTTTTTTTTTTGTAAAAAAGAAACGTTGCGCACATAGATACAGCATTATTACCGCATAGCGTCACCAATCGGTTTGGATTAAAGTTTGGTCATATTGATACATGACGACATATTAATAACAATTTACAGACACATACCAATTGCTGCTGAAAATTTTTCTTTTGGTGGTGGCCCACAATATTTTTTTACACAATAAACTGGACGATCATCTGACCATTCACCATCGACACATGTTAATATTTTAAACGGAGATTTATCTTCTAATCCTTCGTATCCAGGATCACAGCAGATGACGACTGTGTCATCGTGTTCGTAGCAGCTTTTCCGCCCGACAATCTGGATAAAAGAATATCGCATAAAGCAGGGGTCGGCAACCTTTTGTCGCTCGCGGGCCAAAATTAAAGGTTGCAGGTCATTGGCGGGCCGCATATATTTTTAGAAAGTTAAAAATCGAATGAATGACCGATGAATCACATTTTATCACACAGATCAGAAGTTAAATTTTAAGCAGCGCGACCATTTGAATATTTTTTGCGCCATTAAACCATTTGCACTTAGCATCAAATTTTCTGCGTTTTGTTGCCATTTGTCTGAATTATATTTAAATTATAGGCTCATTAAACGAGTAATTGTGAATTTTATACTTGTTAGATTATAATATAATTTAGTCTACAAATAAATTCTTTTGCGTAAAGAATATAATCGACAAAACAGCTATAATTTGTTGCTATAATTCAGTGAAGCGTCGCGGGCCGGATTATATTGCTCCGCGGGCCGGATCCGGCCCGCGGGCCGTAGATTGCCGATCCCTGGCATAAAGGATTAAAATTAGGTTAAATAGAAAATAGTTATCCAAATCATTTCCACAGGGAAAAATAAAAACATGAAAAAAATCCACATCTTTTAACGAAACAATTTTTAATGCATGTGGTAATTTGGCGTTAAATCATAATTCAAATATGCTGCCAATTTGCAGACTGTAGTTTTGTGATGGAAGAAGATGAGAAAAGTGTACTAGTTATTGTAACAATAATAGAGTGGTGACTCACGTTTCCTTTGTGACGATGAAATAAACCAGCATCGTGAATAATAGATGCAGCCGTGGAAGGTGAAACTAAGAATGAATCTAATCCAGCAAGAGGAGGCCGACAAGGTTTCCAATGTTGTTTGCAAAATAGTTTTTCGTTATCCCCATTGATTTGGCTATTATTTAATTTTATGAATCTCCAACCAGTGCAAATACTTGGGTCATAAAATGGTGCAACCGTAATTTTAGTATCATTAACATGTATACGATATTTTTTTCCTAATATTGAAGATGTTAAACTTGTACATCCGCTAGTACGATTACATTCCCATTTCTGTGTTATGCTTGAATCATTACACTGTTGGAGGACGATGTCACCTGAAGATAAAAAATGGAGGATTTTTGGCGGCATTTATATTTTACATTCACACTATCGAAAACTGTGTAAATAAAAAATAATATCCAATACAGGCGCTGTTGACGAATAAATACGACAGTTACGCGCTGAACTCCGAGATAAAGCATAAAGACTGACTGCAAGGCCTTTCAGGGATATGCTTAGATGTTGCATTCATCAATAGCATCACATTCCAATGAAATGGCACACGTTGAATCAAATATATTAAAATGGGCATTTCCTTGGGGTGTTTAAATATACTGAACTCTTAACAAAAAAACCAGATACTTGGGCAGACTAAACAGCTAGGTGTGAACATTTGAAAACATTTACTATGAGCATTTTTATCCTATATTCACATGGAGTTCCGACGCAAGCCATATGTCGGTAAGGTATAATACGGTTACCTCGAACGTGTTAGCAACTCCGATCGTTAGTAATTAGTTTAAAATTATAAATAGTTGAGCGTGAAAATAGGCACTCTCAGGCCTAAGGTGATCTAAATAAAAGTACCAGAGCTCGTGCTGCCTTTTTTCCGCCAGGTTACATTACTCAAAATGAGGCATATCGTTATGAATGTGAGTACCAAACCTGCATTCCCGGATTCACCATTCTTCCAGTCCAAACATTCAATCGAAAATGCATTGATCAAGGTGTTATTGTCTTTTCTATACCATACTTGTTTGGAATCAGAGAAATTACATCTTTGAAGGGTCAGGACTGAACGTTGCTGCGACGCAACGAGACATTTCCATTCGGACTGGGGAGCGGGGTTTCCGTCCATACTAACTATGGCATAACTATGAGTCGAAACATCTTTGGTCGCCTTTGAGTTGCACACTTTGATGTGGTCCTCTTCTGTTGAAAACACATAGTAAATGATTATCCATGCATAGAAGAGGCAGGTACAAAGAAACATTTCACAACATGACTGACCGGCGTCAAGCAAACTTTGTCCTGATTTTATAAACAGATGCATTGGGAAAAATTATTTTATGATGTCATAAGTGAAACTTTCAAAACATTTTTCGAAAGCTGGTGGCAAATCTTACTAGCATTTTTGATGTAACTGGCTAGGTTTTGTAGGTCGTTTCCTTGATAAATTAATCTGAATATTATGCAATGTCGTGATGGTTTTTTATCGTTGCTGCTTTTTAACCGTGATAAGCATCTTGAGAATTGCAAGTTGTCAAACTCGTGATTACCCGGAAAAAATTTTCATCGATTCAGTTACGCCAAACTCGCTAGACATCACAGCACTTCCGAATGGATTTACAAGTGCTGTAAACGATGATACAGAAGAATTAAAAGAAAATGACGAACTTCCTGATAAAACTTCAGATTATCTAAGTAAGAACACCGGTACTGTACCACAGTAAAGTCGCTTTGTTGTGGCTTGCATATATGTAACGTTAACATTAAGTATATCGAGCACCAGAAATATGAATTTTCTTGCTAATACCCGTGGCAATTAATCTACATTCGACGAATTTATCCAGGCGCCTTTTACGTAGAATGATTGTTAAACGCTATTGAGAACACAAGAAATATGAATTCCTTGATAAAACCTGTAACAATCGCTATATATATGCGCTTTTTACATTGAATGATTAGAACTGAGGACAAGAATGTATGAGATGATGCCTGGACTCCCCGCCGCTGCAGGGTGATCCAAGCAACAGCATGTTGGTTACAGCTTCCTCGACCATCCAAATCCACGCATCTTGACACCTAATTTTAGTCACGAAACACCTGACAACAAGTTGATTGTTTACAGGGAAAAAATGCACTGGACAAATTGATCTGAATTCCAAGTCAGGAGAAATCTTCACACCAAATTATCCGGATCCATATCCAAGTAACACTACATGTATATGGACGATACATGCACCTGAAGATCATCATATCTACATATATTTCCATCATTTCGATCTTGAGTCGGGTTTAGTCAACACTCCGGTATGACTTTTATCGTATACATGTATTTTTCAAGTAAGTCGATCATATCCAGGTCACTAGGACTTAAAAACCACTTCGAGATAACTGCTGGGAAAATTTGGAGGAAGGAATGTTCACCTTAAAAAGGGGTTTGACATTAAGTCTTCCATCAAATCTTCCACTGGCCAGTGCAACACGACAGAGTGGGGAAAATTATTAGAAACAAGTCGACAGGCAATATTAAAATATCTATTATAATTTTCTAACAAAAATTGATAATAATTAGGTGAATATTTTAGACCTTTCGGAGAGGGTTTTGAATGGACCATAGACCGCTGCAAAATTACATAGTAAACGAAAAATACTCGTAGTAAAAATAGTCCTAAATTGCTTTCCAGTATGGCCGTTTCGGATCTCCAGAATGCCATTTTGATCTTCTTTATATTCACGAGGAACTGAGCAAACTTGCTTCTCAGCATCATTCAATCCTACAAATCAATAATCTCTCAAGCGATGATGATTCTACTTCAGAAACACCTCCAGAAAAGATAGTTTGGGGCGTATTCTGTGGAAAGCAGACTCCACCACCACGAATCACAGAAACTCCTGGAAGTAAACTTGTATTGATCTTCCATTCGGATGAAACGAAAGAAAAACGTGGATTCTGGGCTACATTCCATACTATAGTAGGCTATGTTGAATATAGACATTTTTGTTGATATAATTTATGATTGAATATAACAACAAAATACCCGACTTACATGATCATTCTGTGTTCTGCCTGATCCACTATCGACAAGAGTGATTTACAGTGAAAATTTGAACAATGTTACTGATCCATATTGTTAAACCTAAATCAATCACAATGAGGTTACATTGGTGAAGTTATGGTAACGGATAGTCAGGACATTTTGAGAACCTCCTTCTGAATTATTTAATTTAACAACATCATTTACGTAATTATTATGAAATTCAATTTTTGACTCTTTTACAGAAAAAGAGTGATCTTCGTAAACTCGTGGGAAAAAATAAAAATACTGAAGATGTGGATTTCTTTGATGATTCAGGCTGGGATGAAATTGACGAATACGAGGAGAATGCAAAACGAGCGTACACCGCGATTGTTCTATTTGTATTTTCTGTTGTCCTCGTCTTGATGATATTGCATTGCTGGCAAGGGTGAGGCTCGTTAAATATGGTGTTATGGTAACAATTTTTTCATCATACTCGTGTTATCAGGCAACTTACTTAATACATATATATGTAAACAAAAGTGACATGAACATCTTCTTAGACAGATTTTTTTCGGATTAGAAACGTCATTTAGAAATTAGTGCTATCAATTATTTATTTATTATCTCCGGTCTGTGAGAATCCATAACACTCTTTCTTGCTGTGTATATGCCGATTACAACCCAAAGTTCTGCGTGTTATTAAATTGAATTGAAGGTGAAAATGATTTACAAGTCCATGCATCCGAAACAAAGAACTGGCTAACTAATTCCATACCCGACATGGACTGGTAACAGGACGAGAAACCGAGGTTCGCCATCCTATTAAGCCGTCTTATCGGTTTTCTATTTCCCGGCAATAAAAATGTAAATTCTATCCTACTTTCCCGTGTCGAAAAATTCGCGTCCATTCGTCTTTTTCTTGTGTAAAAATTGACAGGGTAGGCTATCTGACTGAAATGTCTAAAATATGGTACTTACCTTACTTAAGAAACTTACTTATTTTTTTCCTCCTATATAGAATCAGATTATATTAAAAATACTGTACATGTTCACAGCTCTCCACTATGCGAAGCCTTGTTTCCATCTATCTGTATGTCTCGGCCAACAGGATCAGGAAGTAATCAGTCAGTATGGATGAATGTTTTTCAGCAAAATGAAAGAGGTATGTGTTTTATTAAGTGCGAATACTTGAGGTATATGGCGTCTTATTGATTTCAACTTGTGAGACTAGTGATTATGGCTTTACATTATGGGTGCATTACATATTTAGTCATACCATACCAAAGTAAATGGAATTTAGAGACATTTTGTCATAAGCTGACTGACTGTTATTTATTTCTGTGTTCTTATGATACCGTGATTCCCCGAAAATAAGATTGGGTTTTATTTCAATTTTCTTCCAAAAATTATTTTCGGCTTATTTTCGGAGCATATATTATATTTTCATTTATCAAAAACAAAATTTCAAAGTAGAGAATTAGGAGATTTTCAAATATACAAAATAAGGAAACCAATATCCATTTACTTATAAGTAACACGTTTTTATTCAAAATAATTGCAAAACATAGATTACCAATCATTTATAACGTGTAGGAGAGATTTCTTGCTATCGACTAGGTCAAATTTTTCGCGTTATTGACTAGGTCTTATTTTAAGGGGAGGGCTTATATTAAAATCATTTTTAGAATTAAGACTAGGTCTTATTTTCAGGGAAGGTCTTAATTTCCTGGGGAACACGGTAGCACTGATTTTACGAACTGTAATGTATTTTTCTGCAAATTTTATTCATGTCCTGAACAAATCTATAAAAATCGCTTACTATAGGATATAAATATATCTGCGTCGATGCAAGTCATGACTCTTGTTTCTTTGTATTATGATATTTGCAGGAAATGGTGATAGCACTAATCACAGCTTACCAAGTATACCGAGTCCACCACCTGCCTATGGTGAAATTGTAAAAACAGAAGAAGATTGGCAACGGGCTCTCCAGAGAATCGGTATGAGATTTCTAAAGCTAGACACTAGACAGTAAGGGAAGGAGATTTTTTGCACAAGATGTATGTTTGTTGCATCACACAAAAACATTCCGATGGGGTTTTAGAATTGTAATGTGAGAGTCTAAATTTCAGATGCTTTAAAGATGGTTTCGAAATTTAACGAGAACAAAATAAGCACTAACATTGTCGTTGTCAAAATTTCAACTCATAATCGGGGCCGGGTATTTAAATGTAATAAATGTATTTTCTAGAATCTAAAAAATACGAATTGCTATGAAGAATGATGTATTATTCAACAATCAGAAATTGCGCCAATTCAAAATTATCATACTGTTTCTGTTTAAGTACTTTTATTTCGATATACACAGGAGAAACCGAAGAATCTATCGAACGACATCGTTCACACCCTGATAATATCCAAGTGGAATATGATATAATGGGTAATGATCAGCAGAATGAACCAAGCTATGTAACGTCGTCTACAGGTTCTAGTATCTTCTCCACTCAGTCATCTCCAGGACCGATGTACGACCCAAGGGGTGGTGTTGTGGATAACCTGCTACCGTTATTTGACGCAGTAGCTACTATAGATGAGGGACCTATTGGTCTCCAAACCAGAACATCACTCTCAAATGACGAGATCGAGAGTAGGTATATTCCCGAACAATCGAGTCAGACAGATGAAAATCCTGATCCGTCCAACTTGGAGAGAAATGCAAGACCTCCGTTTTGTAGTCCGTTAACCTAGTTTTGATAAGAAAAACAGAGACCTAAATAAATAAACGTAGTGTAGTGTATGGTGAATTTACTTTATTCATTGAATGGGGTTTCAAATTATTTTTGAATATTGGAGTAATAGTCAACGAGACAAGATGGATTTCCAATATGAAATCGAAACTAAAATGTTCACGAGATTTGAATCTGGGCAAGACAATTAGCAATGTTTTACAATGCTCAAGCGCTGAAATGCTCTTTATAGAAAAACGTTCTCCTGTACATTGGGAATCGGACGGATTGATTTTTCGGGAATGAACTATTGGAGTACACATCTTCCCGCATTCTTGCTTATGATAGAATACGCTTAAAAAATATTCTGTTATATGCAGAGTCGTGCCCAACTTGTTTGCAGCCCAAGGCGAGTTTCTGACAATGATACCTTAGTATACCTATTCCCAAAAATAATCTGGGGAACAAACAAATCACAGATATTGTATACCATGTGCGAAGGAAATGTTTGTATTATTGGGCTAAATCACTCAATGACAAGACGAGCACATTGACGGGAAAGGGCATTCAGCCATTGCTGCTTAACCATCACCGCAATCTGTCAAAAGAACAATACACGTCATATCAGATTTTACTTCAACGGCAACACATCGAGAAAACATGTGTAATACTAATAACGCGGACTCTGCAACTGGGATTGCTGTCCCCTGTGGCCCTCCACTGAAGACATTCACAAAATAATCATTTACAAACTATTAGAATACGCCGTTCCATTACAGACACATCCATTTGCTTTTCTACAAATCCGGTGACATTTATCCGTGACAATTGGCGGGTTACGCGCAAGCTATGGGTTGGTTCGAAGTCAGGTACATCAGTTTTTATCAATCTTCAACTCCAAGTATGACTGCGGTATTTTGCACATCCGAAAAATCGTAGATGTACTATTTATTTGATTCAGTGAAAGCAGTCAAATGTGTATGTTGATTACAGAAATTTATTCAAAGTTTCATCAAAAAAAAAAATAGCACAAAATGAAAGCAAGCGTGAAGTTAGTTCCGGCTTTAGGGCCGTCAAACAACATCGATTGTGACTCATGATGCCAGAAGCAAATTGACATTTATTTGTTTATCACAAACTTTGAGGGAAAAACTTTAATATAGACAAAAAAAAAGGAGAGAAAATGATGTCTAAAGACTTAAATATTCCCAAAACTGTTTACAGGAAATTTCACAATTATCTTTCTCATATTCAATCGGGACAGCTTATAAAATGTGTTTGTGGGATGAAACACCATAGTGATAAGGATAATAGGAAATCCCACGATAATTATAATAGAAGGGATTATAACAAAAGCATACGCATAAGAGTGAAATATCTAATTTATACAGTATTTATTTTTATAAAGTCACAATGAATGAATATGGCAGTAATATTTATTATAATAAGAAATACAAAACTGAAACTATATTGTCAAAGTTTGATAATGTATTTTGGGCATTAGTTGAAATGAGTATCAGTCATCAAAAATAGAAATAGAAAAAAGTTAACAGCACATTTACAGAAAGTACAGAAAATGTATGAACATAATTGTACTGTATTCTCGTCCCATCTTTTTCCATCATAATTTTAAAGAAATTAATATCTGACCACCATAAACACAAACAGTACAAGCACACAAGCAGGCATTTCCAAAATGAACCACATGTAATCAAATAAATTATACTTGACATACTCTAAAATTATGTTTTTTTGATTATCTTCATCGCAAAAAAATAGGATTCTGCGCAATTGACGTCTGATAATCAAGGCCTATCTCACTTACCGAATCGAAACAAAATTTATTCGAACTTAAATTACAATGATCAATCTCTATGGGTACAATATGATTTGGGCCAATTTTGTTTGTTGAAAGTGATTCAAGTGAATAATATATTCAAAAATTTAAAATTAGAAATATTATTACCAGATCATCGATTTTGGCCACCATCGTATAACGGTATATTCTAAAAGCATTAGCGAAGTTAAGTTTGTACTAAATGAATCTTCATACATTGACAGCTTGCAATATTCCGTCACATATCCTCTTATACACGAAAGCATCTCCTTTTATTCTTTTTCTACGAACTCCACACAAATCTGTTGATGATTTGGTGGTTACAATCGACGATTTACCTTTGCCGGCTAAATAGCAAACCTCCAATTCAAAATCGAGCAATACTTTTCCAAAGTCATCTTTTGATTGGCAACGGAGAACATACCTGAAAGAAAACGGGATTAAAATATGAAACTCGAAATTGCCTCAATAAAAGTAAACGTCCGAAGATTAAAGTTTGAGCCAGATCTGAAAAACTAGAGACAATTGAAAAGAGTAAACCAAAATTTGTGTTACATCCTGGGTTCAATAAAATTTATCTTTTGTAAAGAAGTCATTTCTTCAAATGACATGTTCAAGTGAAATACCTTATATTACAATTTAGGGACCTCCTGAATTATGCCCACCAAGATGGCGCACAACCTGAACTCAGGCTGTGTACCAGGTTAGGGTTCAGGTTGTGCGATATCTTGATGGGCATACTGCAGGAGTACCCAATTTAGGGTGCTCCCGAAGTATGCGAACCAAGATGGAGGACATCGAAACGTAACATGGGTAACAGGTTGGGGTTAGGCGATAATTTTTTTCCAATTTTCCTTATTTTAGTCCTATTATCAGTTCGAAGACTAGCCAAGAGCCTCCCGTAGTATTTATACCTAAAATTATGGCCTAACCCTAACCTAGTACACATATTACATTCCGATGTCCACCATCTTGGTTTGCATACTTCGGGAGCCCCCAATTTAGATATGTTAATACAAAAATCTTACATACACATATGAATACTACTTACAATAAAAATGACAGAACCATGACCTCATTAGTGGTAAGGGCGTTGAGGCCACCATGGTAGTATTACGGACTATGGTGGCTACTGGCTAGTCTCTTTTTAAAAAGAAAGTTCACCATTCCCCCATGGTTTAAAAAACATGAGTGCCAACCTCAAAAATGCTCAGTACCTAGCATTGTACTACATTCATTGGAATATACATCTTTGCTGTCCTTCTGAGAGAAACCATTTGGATGTATTCAGCATTTCAAGGTAAGAACTAATTGCTTCGCATATCATAGAGAAGGAGTTGAAATATTACAACTAGAAGCCAACAAAAATAAATTCAGCTGCTTTTGAACAAACATACCCATTCTCTTTGTATAAAAGATGTTTAGTAGGAACAACTCTTCTTAATTCTCTCAATAAATCAGCTGGGTCGCATTTTGTTATATTGGAAACATTGTAGAGAGCCTAAATATAGATAGTTGACTATAAAAGCAATACAAAAAAGTAGAATTGATATTAAAAAGATTGTGATATCAGAAGTGTTCTCTCCAAGATTGAAACTTGATATTCACAAATATAGGCATAACCTAATTCAGCAATGATCGGATATAGGCAACTTAAAGAAAGGAAAAATTTAAATATTTTGTATTTATGTTACAAGGTGACAAATGAAACAAACCAACCCCTAGCTTCTGTTTGGGCTTGCATGTAATAGACCAACATCTATTCCATCTCCATGATTACGGTCAAATTGCTTATGCTTGGCGATTAATTACACCTTTGCGTAATTCTGAACTACTTATCTTCATAAATGATTTGAGCGAATGAAAATGAACCCAATGTACACTGGATTTAGTGAGTTCCAATTTCATTGTATATACTACATTTTCATTTTTCTCTTAGATACTATATTTTTACGATACTATATTTCAAATTGTTCGAGATAAATGAAAATCACGAAATTTGATGCACAATGTGGTCACTATCTACTCCACTATATTTCCATGAATATTTCGAAAACATTCAATCTTTCAATTTGCAATTTTGAATTGGTTTTGGATGAGATATGTTTTTGGTGTTCCAATAAAACATGACACTAAGAAAAAATTCCTACAGTGATTAATATCATCTTTTCCTTGGGTTTAAATCAATTTGAAAATAAGTAAAAAGTACCATATTTTACGGTCCATAGGGCGCACTGTAAATAAATTGCTTAGATTGAGTTGTTATTCTCATAAGGTGCATCAGGCAATAAGAATGTAACATTTTTTATAAAGCAATCAGTACTGGTTTCGAGTGTAGGCAAGGAAGTATAAAGCACTACCTGATCCATACATCAGGCTCACCGGCTCATAAGGCAGACAATCAATTTAAAAAAAAAAAGGATTTAAAGTGTGCCTTGCTTGTCTAATCATCCCCCAAAAGAATTCAAAAAAACGAAATAAATATCAAAAAACAACAATCACCTTGACTTTACGTGGTCCTGTGATTGAGTTGGAACGTTTACGATTTGGCGTTAAGATCATTTTCACCCTGTCTAGTCCTCGTTCAAAACTGCCAAACATTTTATTTTTTCTTTTACTCGGAGTAAGTGGCTCAAAATGAACATTATTTAGATCATGGTCCATTGATTTGCATCTAGGAAGATAAAGTTGAATTTGCATCAGTCAGTTGAGTAAAGTGTGTAGAGTGTATCTGATTCTACATTGTTAAAATAATTGTAATGATAACAAATAAAACATTGGGGGTGATGGCCTGGACCTCAATGTGATAATTATTGCAAACGAGAAAGATAGTTAGTGTATATTGATTGAATAATAATTTTCATAGAAATAAGAGCAGAATCTAATTGTACATTACACATGTTTTATGTAGCGAAGTGTTTTTAGTTATGGTATAGTCTAGTAAAAGCTTCATGAAGACCTATATTACGTGGAAAGAAATTCTGCTTTATTTGTTACCATAGACTCTGATGAATTTAGTTACTATGTACTCTTGCCGCAGCCTGCAGCGATATACTCATTTACTAGCACAAAAAAGCACATCTACTAATTTTCAACATACTTTCTCTCAGGGCTTAATGGATTCTGAGAATCTTCGAGTAGCTCAATATCCATAGACTTCCGATAGTTTTCTGTTAAATTGGGAAATGGTGATATTTGAAAATATTTCAGAAAATGTAAATATTCAACAACAATGAACATCGAAAAAACAAATAGTTTTAAAAGCATGTTTTGTAGGTTTAATTTAATTACAGTAATTGAAATTACTAGATTAGATAAAAGTACAAGATGTTAATCAATCAAAACTAATGCACACCTTTCTGCCATTTATGTGGACTTCTCTGTATGACGGGAGGTGTTTTTGATCGTCTTGGTCTCCTTCGTTGATTAGACGGAGTTGTAGGTTTGTATGGAGAAGTGAAAATTGCACTATGAAAAAGAAATATGGATAGTAAATCTAAATTGCATGTATGATTATTAGGGTTTATTTGAAACTTCATGTAAACTACACTAAATAAATTGCTTTCCATCTTCTCAACAAGATATTCCGAAAAAAATCAAAAATTTGAATAATTATATTTGATATTTTAAAATCTTGATTTTAGGAATAATTTTGAATATTACAATATTTTTGTTTTCATTTTAAGCCTAACAGTATAACCATAGGCCGGCCCTAATTTAACTTCTGGAACCGTAACAAATATAAAATCAATCAAATGTTTTGTCTATCTTCAAATATGTAGTTCATGTCTTCAAATGTGTCATTTAATATATATTGACTACTGAGTTATTTTTGCTAAATGATCCAATTTAGAAAAGCTTATATTTCATATCCAAAATATTGTATTAGAACGTATTCGGAATATTGGGTTTACATCATTACTGTTCTAATAATTCTTGTTAAATACAAACAGAATAGGAGAAAAGGTTTGCTAATTTTTATTGCTGATTTTTGAATGAAATTTTCGTTAAATTTTTAATATGAAGCTTACTTGTCTGAGCCCACAAAAACAGAATGTGGTCTGTCTTTGCTAACAGCGTCTGTCAATCTTTTTGGAATATCAGGAGTAATGAAATTCTCTTTTAGGCTGTCTTCTACTGACTTGGTTCTCCTGTAAAATATTAATATTTAGTAAACGACTTTTTCCACATGAATATGAAGTTCAATAATATAATTAGCTTAATTCAAATCAACTTTTTTGTGCTATGAACCAGATTCATTATGAGGTTGAGTAGTTTCTTTTAGGACTCAACTCTTACTCGAGTCGAGTCAATGGCTGAGTATCTTTGACACGGCTATGAAAGACACAACGTGGCTAACTAATCCCATGTCGACTGGTAAACGGACGGGAGACTGTGGCCCGCCATATGATTTAGTCGTCTGATCATCTTTCGGCTCACTGAGACAAATATGTAAATCCTATCCTACCCTAAAGCCAACACCTGGTTCCAAATACATCTACTTTGTTTCAGTAGCACCAAGACAGTCAGTTATTGTACCAAGCCAATTTTCTGCTTACCTGTGATTGATATTTGAAGATTTTTTATTTTTGGATTCTTTTCCATTTGAAACTTGTTTGACACGAACTGATTGGCTTCCAGGAGCACCTCTACCTTGAATAACCTGAAAAATAGTTAAAAATAATAATGATCAGTTAAAAAAAAAATGATCCATCTAAGCTTTTTTGTCAAAAGCAAGCTATTGTAAATCAAGTTTCAAATTTGTAAATTTTGAAAGTTAAAAATAAAAATTAGTTATTCAAATATCAAAAAAAATATAAAATCGGAGAAAAATACAATAACAAGTTTATTATAGCCTATACACCCTAAGAAAAGTACACTTAAGTTGGATACGAGATTACTAGCTGCAGTGGCGATGATTCTAGTCAGCGACTCTGTTTTATGTCAGTGAACAGACAACAACGTTCTTAGCCCTGCCAATTTCGAATGAGTTGGTTGGAGGTAGGATGTCCCAAATTTGTATTTCACATAGGATTTAATGTTGTATTTCACTCATAGTTTTGCATGTATAATTATCTAATAATAATATTTATTAATAAAATTTAATTTATTTCAATAATAGTAAATATTGCTCCATCTTGTGAAAATGTCTTTAATTTTTATCTGATTTTAATTTGACCGCAACAACCTACAAATTTCTCATCCCGTATTATTTACTAAATTTGATATAATAATAAACTCTTTGGTAATCAGTTTGAGCTTTAGTGAACGAGCATGCAGATAAAACAGCAACAACAAAAAAATAAAGTGCTGATATAAAGCACATATTTTAATCACATAAAGACACATACATCACTGATTGTATAATTAGTGTTATCTCTTATAATAGACTAATAGTCTTCAAGTTTTATATGTTAAAAAGAATATAAACATCTTATCATCACAGAGCACATTACTTAAATCAGTTAAATCGATCACACCAGAGTCTCAAGCTTTTTTGATTTCGCAATAATTCTATATTTACCAAGAATCAAAGACCAATAAAATATTCTGAAACTTACTCCATCAGTATCCAAGCTATCTGATGAACTCCATATTCCATCCATATCAGACAAATCATCATCATTATATGACTTGTAGTATGATTTACGAGATATAGGTTCGGATGGAGGAGGTTGGAACATGAAATCATTCTAAAAAAATAAAATAAACTTAGATATAATCATGCTCGTAAGTAATGAAAGTATTTTATTTGGTTGATGCCAGCAATGGCCCTTTTTGATCATACAGTGAGAATTGCAAAATAAAAGCATTTTTGAAAGGAAATATGTTCCTTAATAACCAGAGTATTGAAAATTGAAATCAACAATTTTTATTGCCATATATAATTAATTACAAATTGATATAAATATTCAATTTATTTTAGATAACTCTGGTTGATGCTTTATAGTTCATTATCCTGGTTGTCTGCTAAACTATGCTAAACTATTTCTAAATTACATTACCGTTATTCTGATAATAACAAGGGAAATAAAAATTGATAAAATGATACCTGAGCTTCATTTTCGCTTTGATTTAGTCCAAGTGGCCGTCTCGCTTTGCTCGATTTGGGAGTAGATGGATGCTTTAAACTGCAATTTATAACAAAAAATTAGTTTCAAGCTTGGAGATTGATTAGGTTACCTTTTATATGCTTATGTTAGTGACCAGACTAAAATATAATACGACAGCTAAGCTAAGTCAAATTACAAGAGAATGTGAGCAGAAAACTAGTCCACAATTTGTTGTATCTACTCAGATGGTTTCATACATATTCAGTCCAATAATACCCCAAAAGTATAAAAATAACTTAATATCAACACTAAGAGAAATCTATAATTGATGAAAAGTACAGGGATTTTCCTGAGGCCAAAAGTCAATAAAAATGGCTTCCATGATTTACGTCATTAAGTATTTAGGAAGTCTTATTCTGCGGTTATTCTTTTCATTTTCACACGACTTCGCGTTTTGAAATATAATTGATGCACTGACTCATAGTGCTTTTGTTACGAGTAGTACAAGCTAACACAAAAAATCAGTGTATTACTCATGTGATGTCCATTTCGATAATGGACCATATTAGGAGAAAACTAACAAATAAGCTTCGATTAGGTAATTTTGGAGCGAACTGACACACTGTCTTCAACTAAGCTTTTCAATTGAATTACAAACAAGTGATTTATATAAGTGTAGGGTTTTGAAAATTTTAATGATCTAAATTACCGATCATTTAGGAAGATATGACATTTCTCTTCATGAAGCAAACTATTATTTATATCAGTGGTTCTTAAACTTTTTCGAGCGCGACCCAAATCTGAGTTTTATGAATACTCGCGACCCAATCCTAAAAAACGCAAAATGTGTTTTTAATGTTAGTACAGTTTGACTCAAATACAGACAACTATTTATTAGAAACAGTCCATTGACTCAGTGAGATTGATGAAACTGAAATTTCCTTTTTCATTATATCTTCAATACACAGCTCTATTTTACTTAACGCAATACGCAAGTTGTCACGGGTATCGAAGCGATTGCGAGCTTAGTTTTGATAACCGTCAGTGCCAAATATCCTCGCTCGCACAAGTGCCTTGTCGCGAATTGTAGCAGAAAAGGCGTCCGCTGTCCGTCGCAAACACGACATCCTAGCTGGCCTTCGGTATCTCTCGCAATATACAACTTTTTACTCGTCACATGTGCACGCACTGCTTCGTTCGCGGTAAATGGTGCCTCGAGATGAAGTCACATTTTCTCTAGATATTGAATAATCTAATGTCGAGAAGCGAGCTTTTTCATTGCGTCGTCTATTACAATTTTCATTACCAAAAAGACACCCATTTTTGGTTATTTTAATCCACTAAGACGACATTCCATGCGGTCAACACAACGACAAGCGACGTGCATGGTTACCGATACCATAAAAATAATACACGTGACTGGCATATCAGAATTGTGATGTAACAATGAGCTCAAGACAGTTCTCTCCGTGAATGAAATTTTTTATTTCATTATTTTTAAATACCAGAGTTTAGAAGCTGAATTGAAACATTGGGAAAGCTGAAAATCCGTCCTTCTCCTCTTAGATTGCCCTTGCATTGACGACCTTGTCGCGACCCATTTTTAAACCTTCCGCGACCCATGTTTGGGTCGCGACCCATACTTTAAGAACCACTGATTTATATAAAAAAGTAATATCTTTTCGTTGCATCAATTTACATCATGTTATGCTATAAAAATGGAAATAAGGATGTTTATAAGGTCCCAATCGCCTTTGCAAGACCCCATCCTCAGAAAGCTATTTGGTTTCATGAACAACTGGTTGGATTGTTACCTCAGCTATGCGAGATATGTACTGCCAATCAAGCACAATGTTTTAAATGACTCCAGCCTAAATTTAAATGGTTATAAATGAGTCAAGATCTATGCTAATGTTTGGTATAAAACTCCAGGAAAACAAGAAATTAAGTGAAAGCGTTAAGTGGTAACTTAAAAGAATACAATACAAGCAAAAAAATAAAAAAAATTGAAAAAAAAACGGCATCAAAAACTCATATATTTGAATAATGTTATCTGCAAATTTCTTTACTGAATTTCTATTTTTATTAATCTCGACATAAAATGGAAATTTTATTTGACAAAAACAAAAATTAACAACTCACTCCAACGGCTTCTGGAAATTATTGTTGATTGGTGTGAGTAAACGAACTGGTTTTCCCTTCGCTTTTTTTCGTAAAAGTAAAAGATATGTTGCAGACAAGGAATCATATTTCCACTGTAATACATAAATATAGTGTTATTTAGTGAAGATGATAATAGAAAGTTTCACAATGGCTCTGTATAAGATATAAAAATATAGTAATTCCATATTCCTAGAATACCACATAAATGCTAAGAATGCAAATATCTATATCGGTGTTTGAAACAACGAAAAAGAATCAAAACCTCACCTGTGATACTAACTCTTTCATTGTTTCTCTTGAAGTTTTCTGATGAACAGACAATTCTGTAATGACATCATCATCCAAGTTTGACAACTAGATAGTAAATAAAATTGAATTATATATTTTTTCATTTTATGGAAAATTTCCAAAAATCACAGAAATAAATTCTAATTACCGGTAAAGTAAAACTGAAATATTGATATTGACCATCAGGAAAGGTGTTACTTGAAATACAGATATATAAAAAATGAGATCAATTGAGATAATTGGAACTTGGAAGTGCATATTAAAAGCAGATTTATGCAAATTTTAATATTAAGATCAGCTAACATCGGCCAAATATTTTAGAGAGAATTTCGTATTTTCAGTCACCAATATATTGGGAATTTGTCTGTTAAGTGCTTTAGCGAAATACCTCAATTAAAAAGGTACCCTTACCTGATATTTTGTTTGCCATTCAACAGGTACTCCAACTTCTTTCAAAATCCATGTGTGTTTTAGAAGCTTGTTAACTTGTACTCGATTCTTGGGATCATGTTGTAATAATTGTCCTAACAATTCAATACTTTCTTTACTCAACCATTCTGGTGTGTCATACTTTCCTTCCTATGAAAAGATGGGAAGTTTAACAACATCAGTTAAAATAAAAGATACCAAAAAAACCTAAATAGGTATGTCCCCGATAATATTCAAAATGAGTTTGTTAAGTTTGTTATATTGATAGGCTGGCTGGTATTACAATTCACAACTTTTAAAATGTAAGGCGATTTCAAATATAAAGAAAAAATCCATATGGGTTTAATGTGAAAACTTCTAACAGTAGAATCTTTATTACATATGTTTCTGCTTATATGAATCTTGCTGAGGTAAAGGAAATAAAATAAAAATACCCAAAAGTTAGGGAGATGCAAACAGCAACATGTTAGAGCCTAAACATAGGTTTTTGGTTGGAGTTTTTTTTCTGTCAGAGTCAGAGTTGAAAGTGTCATTGTATAAATCTGACAGAATACTTTTACAACCTCTGACAAAAAAACTAGATGAAATCTAATGAATAAATCAGCAACAAAAAGCATTTGTATAATCAGGCAGAACTGAAATGCTCTTATCAAATCTTCCATTAGAGGGAATGGAAATGTAACAAATATGAAACAGCTTATTAAAACTTTAAATTATTTTGTATGATTATTTTATATATTTAAAACATAAATACCAATAGAAAAATCATCATACTTTGATTTTCCTGTACAGCATTCCTATATTATCATCATCGAATGGTAGAAACCCATTTAAAAGAGCATATAATAAAACACCCATGCTCCAGATATCTGCTTCACTTCCAATATAAGATCTAAAATATGAAAAAGATGATAATTTCGCATAGGGGGTATACAGACAATAATACAGTATACTATTTGTAATCTTTTAGCAAAGTTTCCCATAGGGCAAGGCTGCCCAACCCGCCGCCCGCCCTATAAAGTTTGTAAGCAGCCTTTTATGTTTTTACTATGTTATTAATCAATTTATAGGGTTAAGTAGGTTTCGTGATTTTGGAGTGATTATTCCTGCCATCTATCTACATTCAAATGCCGGTTTTTATTATTTTGTATGTGTCAAGTCTTGCACCCTGGTAGAAATCGATGTCATTTTTTTTTATTTCTCGCAGAACTGAGCGTTCTGTTCAACGAACTCGAAAGATATTGTGCAATCATTGAGGACGAACGCTGAGTGCAATTATGGGAATGAATTTTGAGCCTAAATTTGCAAATTAATTTCATTCTGATTGATTTCTTACGTGTCTGCTTGGATCGTCTTTTTCTCCAACGTAACATAAAAAGTCAACGATATCTTTGGTACTGGTTCTGGGACTTGTTGTCCTTTTATGTTTGTATTTTTTTTTATCAAATGTTTGGGTTAAATAAGATTTCGGAAATGTCGTCACTGCGTATCCGTCAATAATTCTAATGAAATTGACTTAATGGCATTGCTGCATACTGGCCACGAATCAATATATATATATAGGCAATTCGTCCAGAAATCTTTGTAATGTTACTTCATTAAATATTTGTATTGGCGTTTCAAATTTCACAAAACGACCCACTAAAACTTGATATTCCTGCGACATTGGCACATATTATGCTCATTTAAACATTGAGGCAGTATCATAGCTACTGAAAATGAATGAATAAAAACACTATAACGCAAATATAACACTTAATTTTGACGTGATGTGTGTGTTTACGTGTGGTCTGGTGAAGGTCAAAAAAGTTTCATGCCCACGCCCCGTGTTACCAGATATTCGAATAGTAAACTGCTATTCTAATATTCAACTTGATATTCGAATAATTTGCCAGCCCTGCTCAGTAACCAGAAAGCAATTATTAACTTGATTGATTTGATGTTAATAAGCTTGCCTTTAATGTATTATGTAAATTACCTACACCGAAATCAGGACCTATCTGGTATTATTGTTTGGTACAAACGTTTGCGGCCCGCAACGAATTTCGACACTTGAAAGTGGCCCGCGAGACGAAAAAGGTTGGGCAGGCCTGCCATAGGGTATGTGGAGTAGTCCAGCTATATGGCTAATATCTTTCCTTCGGACCTGAGAGTTGTTGGCAGTTAAATAAACAAGGAGACATTCTCCATCGACGTGTGATAATTTAGAAATGGAAAGATATTTAGGTATATTTCATAAAATAATACAATATAGAAGCATTTTGAATTGTATTACTTTGCAAATTAGCAAAGTTACCGAACCCTACATACTTTCCAGCAATTAATTCAGGAGCTGCATAGGCTGGACTTCCACAACAGGTAAATAAATTATTTTCCATTCCTCCTTTTGGTTTTGCACAAAGACCAAAATCTATCAACTTCAGATTCTGATCCTCGTCAATTAATAAATTTTCCTGCAATGAAAATGAATGCTAAATTTTAGTGAAAATGAAAACTATATTGCTGAATAAATCATCAAAAGTTAACAATGGATCACAACGATGACAGGTTTTAGAATTGAAGCAATTGTATGAATATTATTCAAAATAGATTGAGATGTGCATATTCGTTTGTTTTTTAGAGGGGGGGATTTGAAAAGTAAGAAAAGAAGATACTTAAACAAAACACTCATGACACATGAAAGATTTTTTTGCAAATGATATGATACAAAAATAAGACAACATGGAACATTCTACCGAAAATGATGGTCTCAAACACAATTCAAACAAGTGTTGAACAATATCGCAATTACCAAACTGTTAACTATCCTATATATATGATAACAAAAATAGTCAAGAAACACACAATTCATTTTGCTCGAATTGAAAACATCACATACAATCGCTATTGAGACAATTTGTAACTCTACAAATAAAAAGCATACTGGTTTCAAATCTCTATGTGCATAACCAATATGGTGCATATATGCTACAGCAGAAACAATTTGACGAAAGAAAACTCTGGATTCAGATTCCGTTAAACGATCTTTTTGTACAATATAATCAAATAATTCTCCACCATTGCAATGCTGCAAGAAATAAAATGAAGAATTAAATAGATAAATCTAAAGTTTATACACACGAAACATTTGAGGACTAAAAAATTTACAAGGTAGCGAAAAAAAAATACTGTATCTTACCGAGTGAAAAACACTCATTAAAAGACTTGGATAATTCAAAATTGCAATGCAGCGCAATAAAAAAAGCGCAGAAATCTTTGTTTTAAGATCTTAAATTTAGAATAATCCAAATCTTATTTAAATTTTCTATATGTTCCTATTTTTAATACCTCCAAGAGACAAAATACAGATATATTCTTACCTCTAATATCATAAATATTTTTTTAGAAGTTTCAACAACTTGATATAGTCTGCATATATGTTGGTGATGAAGGCATTTCATTGCTTGTATTTCTGTTTTTACTCTTGGTAAATCTGCCTGTGAAAAAATTAAAATTTGAGAAACTAAAATGTCAGAATATCGTATGTCACAAGCTGAGATTTTGTTCCTGGCAGCCCTTTCAAATGAACTGCAGCCATTTTCCGATTTCCAGCGCATAATTCAGTAAGGCACAGTTCTTTGATTCCAAGATGTCCAGACATTTGGTTCAAAAAAACAAACACTCTATTTGTCTCTGAAACCAGGGCGTCTTCATAATAATTTGAATCAATCATGTAGTGCATCGGCCCTCAGATGACCATAATTGCGTTTTTGCTCAAACTCTCGAATGCTATAGTCTGATAAGACTGTAGTAAAATATTTTCCCCCAGTTAATCAGATTCTTTTTTTTTTTCAAGAAATCCAATTTTAAATTTCAAGATTTTTAGATTGCACTTTCTTTTAATTGTGCAGTGCCGAATTTGAGGCCCAGGCTGTCTCGCTAAGGAGGGCTTGCACTCGCTGTTATACTGTTATAATTGATGTCTTACAGTCTTATTATGTGGGGGCTATTCTTGAAATTGGAGAACTGTGCCATCATACCGTACTAGACTAATATTCGAATCTAAGACAATCTGGGTCTCGTGTAGTTTCTTACCTAACATACTTTTAGTGGGCGTAGCATCACAATTTTTTGACATGTCAATCCTAACCCCCACCAGACTATGCCATCCAAAAATTACATCACTACGACATCACAATAACGTCATAGAGCTTGTTAAATATACGTACTATCGCCCGAAATGGCATCGGCGCCGACGATAAAGAACTTACTAACGTCAGCGATCTCTCTTATATTGGAATCATCGCGACGTAAAAACGAGAGAAATAGCCGCTCGATTTCGGGTGCGCAGACGTGCGCGTCTTGGATGACAGTTCGTATAGTTTGAAGGTCTCTATTACGTCACTGTGATGTCGTAGAGACGTAATATTTGGATGGCGTAGTCAGGTGGGGGTTAGGATTGACACATGAAAAAATTGTTGTGCTACGCCCGCTAGAAGTATGTTAGGTAGGAAACTACATGAGACCCGACAATCTGACAATGAATTTTGCAGATTCTGAGATTCGACAGTACCGTATAGACCTGCTCACGTGTGATTAGTGTTTTTCCTAATAAGTGCTTTTATGAGTGTCCGCACACCGAATTTGCCGCCATGGTTTTGCGTTTGTTTGTATATTAAACCACTTATCACCTTTTCCGCAATGCCCAATCTAGCAATCAGTGTAGTTTTTCATGGCTTGGTTTTTCTTAAAGCTTTCATGGCTTCATGAGTATGACTATCGTCGCAAATTTATTACATTCCACTCCCCACGTTATCTTTGCATGAGGTTGTAGGTATTGGTCATTATCAACGTAATTGTTGAAAGAATGTACAACAGCCCGAAAGTTTATTACTATCGTGTATTTTGTTTTTTAAGTTTGGCCCAAGCCTCATTTAATTGGGCTTGTGTTTTTGTGTGCGTGCTGGTGGGCAGGCACATGAGATACTTCATGTTTTAAACTTTTTTGTAGGTTTTGCTTGCCCTCCAGAATTCTCCATTTTAAATTTAGGTTTGTTATGGAGTTTTCGAAATAAACTATCTATCTATCTATCTATCAGTATGGTATGGTACTAAAGAAATAGAGCAATTACTGAATCAAAAAAGAAGAAATCTTACCCCAAGAGCAGCTTTATCCATTATTTTTATTGCCACAGTTTCTCCAGTGGGCTGGTGAATTGCGCGCTTCACTTTGGCAAATCCGCCTGACCCAATGGTTTCTCTGACATCGTAGTATTGAGATATTTCCACGCAATCCAAGCCGCCCATGGCGGATTATTTCCTCTAGACAACAATATTACTTCAAAAAATTCCAGTATTGACTGACTGCTGATGAGTCGGTCCTAAGATCCAAGCAGTGCGCTAAGGCAGGCAGATGCCAACACGAAAATAATCCAATTCCAGGTAGAGAAACCAAAACAAACGTCTGGTCGATTAATTTGAACCTCCCGCTCTATAATGGGTAGGTGCCAGATCAAGAAAGTAAAACTCTAGATTTCTCATTTAATAAACGTAAATATGTACAGTATCTTTGAAAAAATGCAACCAAAATGAGGAAAAATATAATTTCAAAAAGAAACTCGATTATTAACATTACCAAAATGAATAATATCAAAAAATAAATTGAGCAGACACAAACCCACGCGTATGTCTGGTAACGCTAGTGTCAGCAAATTTTCAAGTTTATCGTGTGCCACTCACTACAAACGCGCGGAAATGATTATCTTTGCGTATTCGCCGATGACATAGAATATATATATATTATCATTAAAATACTCACAATAAAAAATGTGTGGCGAAATAAGAAAGCTCATTAGGTTTACTGCGTTCAGATATGAAACAATACACATTCGATGGTTGGTACATCGTGCTAAGGATAGGATAGAATAAGATTTACATATTTATCCCGGAGGAAAGAGAAGCCGATAAGACGGCTTAACCATATATGGCGAACCACGGCCCCTCGTCCGGTTACCATTTCATGTCGGGTGTGGGATTAGTTAGTTATTTGTTTTCGGAGCGCCAATCTACCCTTGCTACCCCTTTTTGAATTCCTGTGACGGATCGTATTGAATTTCTGGATTCCTCATCGGGTGGTTCACGTAACCGCTGGTCGATTACGGCTTACCTCTACCGTAGTAGTATATATTTACGCTTCTACCATAAATCCCACGCGGACTCATATAAGTCGGATTTCCTCACCCCCCTACCAAAAATATAAAAATATTTTTTACTATGATCAAGCCTGAACGCATGCAAGTGATCACCGGCAATGAAAAAATAAGAAAAAGCAAAACGCATTGCACGTTGTTTTCAAAGAGCTATGAAGGGTTAGGTAACCAAACACGCACGGGTTAACTCTATACAGATATTCTAAAAATATATATATCCATAGCGCAGCACCTACACTCGTCTTACAAGCAAACAATCGGCGTTTGTTTCTTTGCAGCAGGGTATTCCATTACAGTGGTGCTCTTGGCCTTATATACGAGTATCTTTAAATTTAACTAAGTGTTTTCATTTCTTTGCGGATTTTTTTAATAACAATCATAACTTTTATCCTGACTATTCCGTTCCGGAATATTTTAATATTTTATTAATGAAACATTATTTTTCTACCAAGTCAGCTTCTAAGTAAGACTCATCAAATGCATTTTATCACACAAAATATGAGTACCTTAGATGAAAAAATCTAACACGAGCAGCATGGTCGACCAATTCAATCAACCCAAATGAATTGGATATTGGATATTACTCACTAACTTGCAATATAATTCAGCAACGCTCCTAAGTATTTCATCTTGACGCATCACATGGAAACTACGTCATAGCCATAGGTCTTCTAAAACAGGAAATATTCGTGTTGTTGAACTGAAAATGACGCAATTCAAGTCAGGATATAGCTTGTTTGTTACATTCGGATTCTTTAAGCCTATCATATATAACTATTTATGTCAATATACAACAATGTTTTTACTATTCGCCATTTGCATAAAGGATGAATAAATAAACTAGTGAGTAAACTATTGAAATAAATAAATAAATACTCACCGGTACAACCGAAGTGCATTCATTCATCACACTAGTGCCACTGAAAAAAATTGTCTCTACATAATAATCACACAAATAATTTTGATGTTAATGGTTTCTGTAAATTTTTGCACAAAAGCTAAAGGAGTGCATGATTAGGACTTTTCTATTCTCTAGCTCAGTGGTTCTCAACCTGTGGTACGCTTACCACTAGTGGGTACGCGGAAGATGTTCGACTGGTACACGAGTTGAGTTGACTTTTGAGTTGGCTAAAATATGCCGACAGCGCTGTATTCGCTGAACGACCATTATGAATGTTTTCCCGGGCATCATTTCCTTGTTTATTTCCGTAACCATAACCAATCAGTAAAAAGTCAACGATGACGTAACTATTGCAATTTCTTCAGCCGCCTAAACACTTCTATCGCTCAGACAGATATTGAAATATGGTTGTAAAGTAAACATTGCCTCGTTTTTGTAGTTTTGCGTGTTATTTTTCAGTTTTAAATATGTGAACTAAATATCTTCATTGTCATTATGTCTACCGAGGAGCACTAATTTAGTTGCTGTAATCAAAAATTAGATCGCAGATGCTGCGATAGACCAGTCCGAACTAATCTATCAGTACCTGTAAGCGACGCATGGTCGATTAATTTTAATAAAACCCTATGAGGGGTTTAAAAACGTAAACCAGCTCTTAAGCGCCAACACGTCAAAATACTTTTAAAATAAGTATAAAAAATTTTGCAATAGTAAAGTATAGGAAAAAATTTTCTGGGGTCAAAGGTCGGAAAAACGTCCTATGGACCAGTCTAGTCTTTGGAGATCGCCCTCGTCTGCTATTGTCCACGAACGAATTGAAATGGGCATGTTTTCGTCCGTTAGGTCACAAAGGATGTAGTGCCGCATTATAAAATACTCCAATAGTCAGTAAAAAGTTGAGATCCACTGCTCTAGCTGTACTGTGGCGGATCATCGAATCGAAGGTGGTCACGCTTGACAGAATGAAAAAAAGAGTTCCCACGAAATAAAATAAAAAGCAAAATTTGGATGAAATATCGAATCCAATAGGACTTTATGATCCAATAGAAGTTAATTTAAATAAATATATAAATACAAGTAATAACCTTTTGGCGAGTTTTTAAATCTCTATGTATTTAAAATTGATTTGTCCATTAGCCTACATGCGAACAAAGGCGATTTCCCAAATACTAAAAGTCGCCACAACAACAAGAATTACAACAACAACGATTTTGCAAAACGACTGATATAGGCATTTCGTGTCCAATAAATACCAATCTATAACGCCATGATTTATCACCTAAGATTTTGATGAAATTAGAAGAGGCCTTCGAGATGGTTTGAGGCGTTTTGGTTTGGTGTATTAGCACTGCATGCCCGATGTCAAAACTCGAAGCGCAGCGACAGGCGATGTACACAACACGGCGATAGTCGACAATCGCCGTTGAACACGAATAAATAAGCACAGACAAGGGCGTAAATGGGCAAAACCTTGAGAAAAATACGCCAAAAAATACGCAAGCTGCCCTGCAATTCGGTGAGATGATTTTTAGAAAAACGAGACGCTTACAAGCTTTGACTCTACTTTGGGAGAAAATGCAGTTGATATTTATCGAGTTCACTATCTTATATAAAAAGACTTTATCTGTTAGCAGTCACGGAACCACGGTATGGTACGCATTCGATTTTGTGACGTCATCGCATACAAAAAATGAGCGCTCCCGTAGTATGTGAACCAAGATGGCGAACACCGCGACATAGTATGTGTACCAGATTAGGGTTAGGTCATAATGTTATTGCAAGTTTCCTTATTTTACTTCTATTACCAGTTTGGGGACTAGCCAAGTGACTCCCGTAGTATTTGTACCTGGAATTATGGATTAACCGTAACCTGGTACACATACTACATTCCGGTGTCCGCCATCTTGGCTCACATACTACGGGAGTACCAAAAATGAATACCATGGAGCCCACAGAAATCTTTGAAATGAATAAGTAATATAATTCCAGGAGAAAATATAATATTTAACCACTAGAAATTTCAAAAAAATTGGTCGAGTAGTAGCGATTTTTTCACAACAAAAAGAAAAAGAGAAGAATGACTGACAAGATCAAGAACAACAACATAATAATAATAATAACAAAACGATCCCTATGACTATTTCGTGCTCAATTACTATCCTACTTGTTGGACCCGAAGTGGACCTATGGATAGTTTGCCATTTGTATTTTTATTCATGTTCTTATTGAGTATGAAAAAATTCTATGAAAAAAAATGCTTCGCTTTTCTCAATAACTACTGAACCAATTGCTTTGATTTCAATGGTTATAGATTGTATTTTCAGCTTAATGGCTATTACTTCCATTTATTTCAAAAATTTCTGTGGGCTCTAAGAGATTCGTTTGTTTTTGTGCGATGACGTCATCAAAACAAAAATTGCGCACCTTGTGGCAGGTCCGCATTTGCGATCTGGTGGTCAGGCGAAAGCGTGAAGGTTGTGTTACCGGTAGTCTACTGTGACAGGTTACATACCCGTACTACTTTGATTTGGTCTTTGTGTCCATATATTTACCATCGCTCTCTTGTTATTTGCTTACGTATTTACCAGCTTGGTCTTGATCACAAATACACGCACTTTGACAAACATGATTTTTTTATTATTTATTTATTTTTTTAAAAGAGGAACGCTTCACGATTGTGCGTCTCATCCTTGTTTGACAAACATGATTGTGTCCTGTTATTTGCGGTTTAAAAAACCGCGACACCATGTGGAAAAATTCCAAGCTTTTCGAGTATTTTGTCATTTCGATGTCAATAACACATTACTCCACAATTCAATTGGAAATTCCTTCTGTCGGACTGCTCCGAATCGGGTAAAGACCATATTGCAAAAACCATCACCCTGAGATTGCTTCTATAGGTGTAAATATTAATACCACTGAACAAATCATAAATTCAGATACCGAAGAAAACACACCAAATTAAAATTGTTTTGCTATTTGTGTGGAGCGACGATTTTATGAGGATGTTAAACCACGCTCAGTTCAATTTCAGTAAATACTTCTTTGATTGCCCAATGACATTAAACAACATGATAGGCAACTCTGACGTCACTCCATAAGGCTACAGGCAAAAGATTGTATTTCATGATACGCTCCAATGCACATATTTCTCGTCGCCTTTCGCGACCGTTTTCCGCTCGCTTTTGCTACTCGGCGTTTTCTTTACGTGTAGTACCTGCCTTTTTGCGCCTGTAACAAAAGAAAATAATCCTTATATCTAAGAAGTTTTGCTCACTTGGAAAGCTGGAATTGCAGACAAGCTGCGAAGAGTAATTCTGCACATCATAGACGTTTTTTTATCAGAGAAGATTACAAACGCGATAGCGTAAAGATATGTTTGGAACATTTTGCAGATAATGACAAAGTTCAAAGTTAATAATTTTAATGTTTGCGCTTGAAC